ACATTTAATTAGGGGTATAACGTAATTAAAATATGTAAGATATATATGTAAGTTTTTTTTACTTACTATTATATTCATCAATTTCCAAGATATTCTACAAGTATTTTTTCAAAACTATCATAATAAATATTTCTTTAAAAATTTAGCAATAAAATAAATATAGAAATATATATTTATAAACCAGCTGAAATGCCCGGCGTCGCCCGAGGAATTTTTTCTTATCGTATTTTGAAGAAAAAAAAACGATTCAAAAAAAATTAGCCTAGTTACCATTGGGGTACTCAAGGGTTCCTTAAAAATGTCAGCCCATTCTGTCCAGCCGTTTTTCCAGCTATAGCGGACATATAAATATATAGTTACATGCATACAAATATACAAGGTGTCTCTGAAAAAGTGTGTGATAGGCCCCATGCTAAACATCATTGTTTTGTGTTAAAAAGTACTTCTAGGGAGGTCGTGGATTAAACATTTCTCTCTAAAATGCCGTTTTATATAACTGCGCCATTAGACATAATATTTGAAAATTTTCTGGGTCCCATTTCCAAAAATATTATACAGTAGCGTACATAGGGGGGGGCAGTAGTCCTCTTGCCCCCCCTGGGAGTTCCAGGGGGGCCCTGCCCCCTCCTGGAAAATACAAAATTAAAAGGAAACTAATTTAAAAAGTAACACCTGACAATGACAAAGACTAAGGATTTGTCTAAATTCACTGTTAACACAAAATTTTAAGATACTTTAGACATGATGGAAGATATAATTAAGGAATTTTATTTTCTATTTTTCTATTTTTTCTTACAGTCAATTAATAAAGGAATTAAGAGTCTTTGGCACAAACTCAAATATTTAAACCTTTGGAACCTGATGTTGTAAACCTTTGATATTTCAAATTCAGAATATTTGATTTAACAGAATTCATAGTTTGAAATATCTAAGGTCTACAACATTTGGTTCCAAAGATATAGTGATTAGAAAATCAGAGTTTGTGGCAAAGACTCAATACCTTTATTTCCATAAAGAGATATTAAGCGTAATTTCAAGTTCCCCTTTATGCAATGATGACAATAACATCGAATGAAGGAAAGAGAAGTTTTAGCCTTCTAAAGAGAATACTTCATTGCACAAGATGTACTATGACGGAGAGCAGACTTAACAATCTTGCACTTGATTTTATGATGCTGCTGTGATTATTGATTTAGTTAGCTGTGATGGAGTTAAGTAATAAAGGAACTGAGTTTTTGCCACAAACTCAAATATTCTTATCCCTATATCTTTGCAACCCAATGTCGTAGACCTTAGATATTTCAAACTATTAATTCTGTTAGATCAAATAATCTAAGTTTGAAATATCAAAGGTTTTATACCCACTGGTTGCAGAGATATAGAAATTAGAAAATTTGAGGTTGTGGCAAAAACTCAATTCCTATAAAGGAATTGAGTTTTTGCCACAAATCCCAATTTTATAATACCTAAATCTCAACAACCAGATCATGCATACCTTTCATATTTCAAACTTACATTGTTTGATTCACCAGAGTTCATAGTTTGAAATATCTACGGTCTACGACATTTGGTTTTAAAGAAATTGGGTTTTAAAAATCCGAGTTTGAGGCAAAGACTCAATTCCTTTATAAAGTTAAAAAGTTAAAGTTAGTTTTTCGAGCAAAGGAATAAATTTTAGACTCTATAAGGTTAGTAACATCCAAAAATGTAGTCTTTTTGGTGTATTTTTATGGTGTTAGTTGACTTTTTGAACAAAACAATTCCAGGGGGGGGCAANGCACCCCCCCCTGGCTAAAATCCTGTGTACGCGCCTAATATTATAATTGCGTTTTCACCAACTAAACGTGGTTTTATTCTACTGCAATGTGTGCCTAGTAGATACAATGTCAATATATTGGGGGGTCGTCGTTCTAAGATTTTAATCTAAAATGCCGTTCAAGCCTTCAAAATGTATTTTTTTCTAAATCTTTGAAAAGGAGACCAAGGACATTTTATATAGCATATTAGATCCGCTTTTACAGGCTAACACGGCAGTTTAGAGAAAACTGTTTAATCGACAACCCTCCCCCCACCCCCCATTTTTGGACATTGTACCTGCTAGAGATGCTAGAAGCTCTTTATAGAACATTTAAACGATGTTTAGTAGACTGAAAAGCCTAAAGACACTTTTTTGTATATTATATTATCATGAAGATAAATAACACGGAACTCGACAAATGGAGAAAGTTAAATCTATGAGAAATTACAGGTACAAATTTGTGACCTCGTAGCACTTCCAGTTTTAGAAAAGTATTAGAAAAGCCAACTTATTCGGTTACAGACTGTATCTGGTTACAGACTGTATCCGGTTACAGATTGTATCCGGTTATAGACGGTATCCGGTTACAGACTGGAAATTCCGAAAATTGTCTTTTTTTAAAACGGAAGTTAAAGATTTCAATCTTATACCTGCCATTTTTTTATTTTGACTTCATATATTGGGAATTTATAATATGACACACTGGGCTGTATAATACAGTAAAACTGAGGTTTTTGGGTAGAAAGCCCTCCATGTTTTGATTGTATGATCCCAGCCAACCAAAGCACCAATCAAACCAGGATTCATTATTATAGTTTTACACGAAAAAGTAGATTTAATTTTGCTAAAGCTTAAACTTATGCTTTCATTTGTAAAATTAAAAGATTTCTGCGATACATTCAAAATATATTTATTTTTGTAATTTATATTTTTCATATTCTTCTTGATCATTAATCATTTATATATCAGGAGTTTTCTAGTTGTTAGGCAGAAAACAACAAAACATTGGGCCATAGCTACGATAGATAGATAGATAGATAGATAGATAGATAGATAGATAGATAGATAGATAGATAGATAAGCAGACAGATAGAAAATGATAATTGATGATGATAATAAGCACATTTCTAATCATTATATAGACTAAACTGTAAAAATGTATATATTTTAAATTAAGAAAATTATCGATCTAATTAATTGGCACTCGACTCCATCCCTTTCAAAGTTGAGAAGTTGTTAAATAGGCGGTATGTAGTTCAGCTACCTTTCTCAAATTCATTAAATTCGGTCCTAAGTCACATAATTGAATGTGTTTAAGAAACGTGAGCCTTCGTGCAAGATATCATCAAAAATTAAAACCTCTTTTACCTTTAATCCCTGAGCCCGCGTTTTAAAGCTTGAGCTCGAGTCGTAATTCCTTAAACCCAGGCTTAAGGCTCAATCTTAGACCCAACTCTGACGACAGCTTGTGTCACCTGATTGACAGCTGCAAGATCTTCAGCTCAACTTGTAGGAGGCTCAATGAAAATAAAATTAAAATCGACTGTAGTTGGTTTTAGTGGAGAATCAGTCTCAATGTTGAGTCTTATTCAAATCAAATCCCGAAATCCGCCAATCTAAATCATGAAAATCCGCAAAGTACGATATAAAACCAGTTTTTATAAACTCAACTCTTTGGAAAATTAGTTGCAACCTATCTCGAGCCGCAAATAAAGGCCCAATAATAGCTAAGATTTGAGTCGTATTTTTCCGAATTTTTTAAATCGCGAGCTCTGAAGAAAAAAAAACAATGTACATTTTGTACGTACATAAAATGTAGGTCGTAAGTCGTACGTCGCCCCTGAGGAAGCGACCTTGCAAATTGGTCTTACAAAAAAGAAACCCTTGCCGTTTTTACGTTTACTAAACCCAGGCTGTTCTAAATTCTCTCCATATTGTTCGTAATATATTAAACTACCAAAAAATAATTAAAACAATCCAGTTCGAATTCATGAACACAATTTTATGAATATTTAACAAATCAACACTCAGTTAAAAATTTCGAAGAAATGTTTGTAATTTATGAAATTGCCAAATGGCGTGATGGAAGAAAGATAAAAAGTTATACAAATCCACAGAAAGAAAATGTATATTTGTTATTTTTACAAATGTTTTTTCTTCTGAAGTATTTTGATAAATAAGTATAATTATTGGAAGCACTGGAAGAACTAGAAGTTAGAACTATAAATGATGAGAAAGGGGTAAGGGCAGGTGTGTTTTTATATTTATATTATAACCAAAGAAATTCTGAGCGCGTCGCAACACTTTTTATTATTTTTGCGCTCTATAAAACTAAACTAGTTATTAAAAGCGTATTCTTATGAATGGTTTATGGTTAGGGGAATGAAGACATAATTTTACGTGAATTCCATTAACAGTAAGAAATGTATAATTCACAACGGTACCTTATGAAACTTTGTCTGAGCAATAATAAAGAATTTGAAAATTATCAACGTTCAGCTAGAAAAACTATTTTATCTCCGTCATTTTTCATCGATGAAGGATAGGTATATAAAAATCGGACATTTATATATGCCACTAGCTCTTTTAAAAATAGGACATTTAAAAGTATGTCTAAAACGCCATTAGTTCTATATTTATATTTACCAGGTTTTCAGAACGCTTCGCGCCAGTTTTCTATTTCAACTTTTTATTTTGGCTCTATCTCAATCTTTAAAGAATAAAAAAAAGTTCGCGAATTTTATAATTATTTTTCGTGGATTTTCTAAATTTTACAAAAAACTGATTTAAATTTGATACAAATTTTTGTTATTCTGAGCTTTCATGAACCTTTCCTGGGGTGAGTTGTCATGACAAATTTTTGCCCGATCGGTTCAGCCGTTTAGACCTTTGTTGTTTACAAATGAACAAACAGACAGACAAGCTAAGTATATATATATATATATATATATTTTCTTATCAAGTATCTGTTTGTTGCTAGATAGCATATACATGTAAACATTCACTAAAGTTGAGAAACTAAAATAAATGTTAAAAAAATATTTTTAAAATATTTTATTGTTTACTCTACATTTTTTCTATTTATCTGGTCTTAAACTTCGACCCCCCCCCCTCTTCCTAGGCTCTCATACCCCCCCCAGATCCACAGTTTTAGTGAAAAGTAAACAACATACTGGATTCTTATCTAAGGGTTATGATATTGTAACTGATCTCAGTAATATCAAATAGTAGATAGGAATAGCCAGCGCTTCAGTAAATTTTGTAAAAGTAAAAGTATGATTGATTTTCAACCTAAACATTGAAAAATATCTCAAAAATAAAAGTATTTTTGTCAATATTAATGGGATATGGAGGGCAGGAAAGATTTAAGAAATATAAAGATGTAAATGTAAAGATTCTTTGTGACGCAAAAGTACATGTTTATTTAGACCCACAGCTGTGCACAGTACTAAAATAACAGTGCAATATACACTACAAAAATGTTAAAAACTGGAACCAAAAAACCAGGTATTTAAAAATACAAATTTTAACTACTAATAAGCATCATGATAAAGTGCTATCAAGGATTCACAACAGAAATCTTTTTACACTTTTAAGACTTTTCTATGTCAGTTTATTCTAGAAATCACTGCATGAAATAAGATCAGTTTATTCTAGCAATCACTGTATGAAATAAGATCAGTTTATTCCAGCTATCACTGTATGAAATAAGATCAGTTTATTCTAGCGATCACTGTATGCAATAAGATCAGTTTATTCTAGCGATCACTGTATGAAATAAGATCAGTTTATTCTATCGATCAATGTATGAAATAAGATCAGTTTATTCTAGCGATCACTGTATGAAATAAGATCAGTTTATTCTATCGATCAATGTATGAAATAAGATCAGTTTATTCTATGTATGAAATAAGATCAGTTTATTCTAGCGATCACTGTATGAAATAAGATCAGTTTATTCTAGCGATCACTGTATGAAATAATATCAGTTTATTCTAGGAAACACTGTATGAAATAAGATCAGTTTACTCTAGCGATCACTGTATGAAATAAGATCAGTTTACTCTAGCGATCACTGTACGCAATAAGATCAGTTTATTCTAGCGATCAATGTATGAAATAAGATCAGTTTACTCTAGCGATCACTGTATGAAATAAGATCAGTTTTTTCTAGAAATCACTGTATGAAATAAGAAAAAAGTCTTTATCGTCAAAGCAAAAGTTGTGACAGTGTAAAAGTTGTATTGGACAGTGTGTAGATAATTGGTATAATTGATCTAACTTAATATAGAACTTATAATTGTACACCTAGATATATACAACTAGAGGCCCTTAGTTGCCTGGCACCTTGTAAACCCTAGAAATTGCGTGCCCCATTCTTTTAATATTGTATGCATGTAGAGGCCCCTTCAGCCGTAGATCATTTGAATTACCGAGCGGTGTCAACCTTTCCGGTCCCAGTTTGTACTGTACCTAGCTCTATGAACATTGAACAGGACTAGCCGGTGCAACAAGGTTGACGCGGTCAGACTTTATGCTTCATATAGGTTAAATTTACTTTTACTAAAGGGGCAGAGGTGCGTGGTAAAATTCGTATCCACAAATAGAGGCCCCTTGCCCCCTAATAACCCATAAAAATGTTCTCTCTTTATGATAAAAAAGTTAGGTTTTTGGCGGATTCTCAATTTGTTTTAATACTGACATTTTTTGGAGCCATAATTTTTAATTCAGTATAGTAGTCATGTTTCAGGCACCACAACACAATATAGGCCAAACATTTTCAGCTGTTTGGACGATTGATCCAAAAATCTTTAAAAATCTAATGGTTGCAAGCCCTAACGCAAAAATTGTAAGGAATTTAAATACTGAATCTAGAAACAAGATGAAAATTTTTATAACAGTCTGAATCTATGTAATATTTATATACATGAAAAAAGTAAATATATATATGATAATATAACAGCAACAAAGAAAAAAAATTTTTAAAATAGGCCATATATACCATATATACCATATATACCATATATACCATATATACCATGCAATTAACCAATTATGGTTAATATTTTTCCCTTAATTCTTTTTATTTTAGGTTTGTACTATTGATACTTATATACGATATTTATAACCATCAGAACTATTTAAACATGCAATAAATGTCAGCTGTTGATATATATGTTATTGTGTGACTAGAAAGAATAAGAATATCGGATAAATACAAAAAATTATTCTCCTTTAAATTTTTTCCCCTAATCATCATCATGCATGTATCTATATATGTAAAGTAGTAATCTCTGTTTGTCTGTTTGTTTAAGAGATGATAACCAATGAACCCCTTGACCGATTTGCCTCTGTGATTGGGGAACTCGGTAGAACCACGGGAAGGAAATGAATTATAAGATGAGTGAGTCGACTGTCGTTGAGAAAGCTTAGCTTCTAGGCAATGCTGGGTTCCCAAACTAGTTTAGAATATTTCCATCTATTCTTTCAAATATATTATTTTTGTATTTTCGTATTTTGTACATATATATCATGCAGGTTAATAAAGGGACTGTACACGTTATTTTATGTTACCCTTCATTGATAGAGTGGCATGTCGGATTACCATCAGTGGCCTTAAAAGTGTTGGTCAATAATGAATAATATATCCATGGACCAAGTGTTATGAATCGGACATATGCCTTTCTTTCTTTTCATTTTAATAGAGGAACACTTGAAATATCAACGTCAGTCCCTTTAATCTTAATAATACATGTTTGGTGTGTATGTTTGTGTGTGAGTAGATGGTGTGTTTATGGTAACTATATAACTGTGTACAAATTAAAACCTAATAAAGCAATAATTGAATAAATGAGATATATGGTTTATATATATATAATTATAGCTGTGTATATATAGCTAGCGTCTACACTATAAGATAAAAGAACCAGAAACCAACTTTGCCGGAAAATGTTCTCTGTAAAAGTTACACAACTCAACTTAGAATTTTAAAACCAAAGAGAATAGAATATATATTAGAGTGGAATTTACTAGAAAAAAGTGTAAAACAGCCATTTTGTTGTACTGTTTCCATAATGCAGTATGTACTTCACATATTTGTGCTATATAACCTTTTGGGCCCTGGAACATCATGTTATAGAAAATCTAAAATTAATATTAAAAGAAAACCAAATTATGAAATAGGCTGGTTTCATAATTGACCAATGATCATTTTACATAGACTCTATGCCTTTCACTTTACAAACCATGATTTTCCGTTATAACTATAAATCAAATGATGTTTTTTCTTCACCTAATTCATTTTATAAAGATTATTTAGTAGCTTTTAAACATTCGAAATTGAAATGGATAGTCTAGGAACATACTGTATTAATCTACTCTACTGCATATAATTTGTGAACATTTAGATGATTTGTACACTTTGAACTCCCTTTCAGGCTGAAAGGGACTGAAAAAAATCATACCGAGGGATTGTCTAAATTCCACTCTAATATATATTCTATTCTCTTTGGTTAAAAACTTAGAACATTCCCATGGTTCTACCAAGTTCCCAAATCAATATTTTATGCAAATGAGTCCAGGGGTTTATGAGTTATGCTCTGACATCCAAACAAACAAACAGAGATTAATACTTTATATTATACTAGTTTGGGAACCCAGCGCTGACAAGGTTACAAAAAGTTACTCCCGCCGTTTACCAGCACATGAACGATTTTACAGGGAAACTTAATTTTCGGTAATTCCCAAGTTCCCCAATCAAAATTTGAGACAAATATATGTCTTGGGGTTCATGCATAGAGAATAGAATATATAGAGAGGAATTTACTGGAAAAAAGTGTAAAACGGCCATTTTGTTGTACTGTTTCCATACTGCAGGTGTACTTTACATATTTATGCTATATAACCTGTTAAGCCCTGGAATATCATTTTATAGAAAATCTAAAATTATTTGACCAATTATCATTTCATATAGACTCTATGCCTTTCACTTTACAAATGAAGATTTTCCGTTATAACTATAAATCAAATGATGTTTTTATTCACCTAATTCAAAATAAAGTTTATTTAACAGTTTAAGAAATTGAAATGGATAGTCTAGGGAACGTACTGTATTAATGTACTCTACTGCATATAATTTGTAAACATGTACATGATTTGTACACTTTGAACTCCGTTTCAGGCTTAAAGGGACTAAAAAAATTCATACCGAGAGATTCTTTTAACTCCTCTCTATATATTCCATTCTCTATGGGTTCATGAGTTATAATAGGACAAACGAACAGACAGACAAACAGAGATTACAACTTTATCTATATATAAATTTAGCTTTTCTGAGTGGGTGTTTGTCTGTTTGTTTGTATCCAATAAACGTCAAAACGGCTGAACCGATCGGGCCCAAATTTCGTGTGGGAACTCACGTGACCCCAGGGAAGGTTTATGAATGATCAAAATTTTAAAAATTGTGTTTAAAAGTTTTTTATTTTTGTAAAATTTTGAAAATTTTGTTTTTGTTTTATACTGTACAATGAAAAGATGCTCGCAGATAAGCCACAATTAAAAGTTGAAATAGAAGATGGGCGCGAAGCGCCATAAAAGCCTTGTACTGTACAAAGAGAAGTTGCTCACAGATAAAGCCACAATTAAAAGTTAAAATAGAAGATGGGTGCGAAGCGCCCTAAAAGCTTAGTATACATAGAAGTAGATAGAAGAAAATATATTTGCCTTGTCTGAGTGTTATAATGTCTATTTATCTGTATCCAATAAAAGTAAAACAGCTGAACCGAGCTGGCCAAAACATGTTGAGGAAAGATTTGTGGTCCCACTTGTTATAAAGATGTTTATTTACAGTTCTTGGAACTGGTTTTACTGTACTGCTTCTGTTTGTTTGTTGTTGTTTGGTGGAGAGCCGCTATCAGCCGACCTGGGAAAGTTTAGGTTTGTTTATTTAAAAAATATATTTATATATAATATATATATATATTTGTAATGTTAATTTCAGAAACTAGAGCTGATCCATAACGGATAACGTTAATTCAATTGATCATTGTGTTCTTTCTAATAAATAGAGGCATCACATATTATCAATACGTTTCTATTTTAATATGAACTTGATATTTATTTAAGCTTTTAATGTGACGCAGCAAAAATTTTAAAGACTTTTGTATATATTGCTTCTGCAGGTCTGAATACTAAAAACCGGAAACTAATTTTTGAACAATAAAATAACCCTTAAATAATTATTTACAGTATTCATTACATTCAGCCTGCAGGATTTCAGAAACAATTGCACGAAATTTCTTTATGGGTAACCCTAGTATATATGTTACTTCCAATTTAATTTATCCATTTTAGACACTCGGCCCCTGCCATCCTGGTATGACGAAGCAAAGGTATAAACTGAATTGTGCAATGATCTAAATTTTTCACATATTTCGCCTAATTAGGATTGGTTTGAATTATTTGCGGATTTTATTCCCTGCAATTCGGAGATTAAAAAATACCTTTTGAAGCAGAGAAATCCCGCCAGAGCTGGAATTTATGTGTTTTATACCCAGAATCCAGGTCGGTTGATCTTGATATCCATGCTCTTTTAATCTGATGATGAACAAACCTTGATTTCTTCATTTCAGTTAGTTCTGCAGGATTAGATTACCACTGGATATCGAAAAATAGATTAAATTAATCTGCAGATTAACAAAAGATATTGATATCTACTATACAAGAGTTCCAACCTTAGAAGTCAGAAGTTTTGTGTTCTGAATCTCAGGGATCAAGCATTGATCTCCATTCTTATTTTATATCCCCTGATGTTTTTATACCATGCAGAGATAACTTTAATAGAGGAATCAACCAACTATTCTCAAATTCAGAGTTCAAAATGGATATCAAAATCAATCGTTCAAGGCTAAAGATACTCTACACAAAAGATCCAAAGTCGGCTAGGATTACAGAGTATAGCTATAGAGGTTCAGTGTCTATGGGTTTAATGATCTATTCTGTATTCATTAAGGCGGACGTCAAAACCAGTATTTTATATAAAATGTTTATTGCACGTATTTTTAATAATTTCATTATCAAGATGTTTAAATATATTTATTTAGATCGGTGTATTTATGCACTGGGGTCCGTATAGTGTCCCTGGAGTAGCTAGCGAGTGGTTTTGGTTTCAATGGAAAAGGTAATCTTCATGTTATTTTAGATGACAATTTGCTCTGTTCGAAAAGAAAAATATAGTCAAGTTCCGGTGAGCTAACCCCCCCCCCCCCAGCCGCAAACGCGCTGCTCCTACAATGTCCTAGTTGCAGCGCTTAAATCAGATTACAAATCTACATCCCACTTCCGGTCTTATATCATAATCATTATATCGTTCGATAATTGTCTCAGCGTTTTTTGTATGTTGCCCCTAAATCGTTTAAATCGCCAATTATTTTTTAGGAAGTTTTTGCGTATAATTTGCAATTAAAAATGTAATTACCATAAATACCTTTTATCTTCAGTCTTTCAGCTGATTAATTCCGTAATTGTGGTATTATCAAAAGATGTGTTAATCATATAAGATCAAGTTCATCAAAGTCGCTTCTTGTGTGGGTTACCCTGTACATATGTTATGTTTAAAGGGAGTGTTCGCGAAAAATGAAAGGGGGTAAAGGCTTAATGCGATAAAAAAGCGCTTTTGATCGCTACTAATCTTACTTCTATCTGTTGCATCAATAAGGAGAAAATTGTTAAAGACGTCTCATACCGAATAACTTAGCGTCCATACAAATTGAGAAAATTGCAACATACGACTTAGACCGTAAAAAGTTCAATTTAATTTCAAACAAATCATTCAGATATTACAACCATCGATTATCTTTCGCCACATATGTATATATTCAATATTTTATAAACTTTGTTGTTAAACTGTCTCTATATCGTAATCTAATGTTAATTACTTAGTTCAACTTTCTTAATTATACACTTTTTGCTAGAAATGATCCAAATAATGCGGGAGACCAGTCTGTTGTACAGTACATGAACAAGTACTATCCACCAGGTAAATGTACTCTGTAAACTGTACAGTACATGAACAAGTACTATCCACCAGGTAAATATACTCTGTAAACTTTTAGTACATGAACAAGTACTATCCACCAGGTAAATGTACTTTGTAAACTTTACAGTACATGAACAAGTACTATCTACCAGGTAAATGTACTCTGTAAACTGTAAAGTACATGAACAAGTACTATCCACCAGGTAAATGTACTCTGTAAACTTTACAGTACATGAACAAGTACTATCCACCAGGTAAATGTACTCTGTAAACTGTACAGTACATGAACAAGTACTATCCACCAGGTAAATGTACTCTGTAAACTTTTAGTACATGAACAAATACTATCCACCAGGTAAATGTACTCTGTAAACTTTACAGTACATGAACAAGTACTATCCACCTGGTAAATGTACTCTGTAAACAGTACAGTACATGAACAAGTACTATCCACAGGTAAATGTACCCTGTAAATTGTACAGTACATGAACAAGTACTATCCACCAGGTAAACGTAATCTGTAAACTGTACAGTACATGAACAAGTACTATCCACCAGGTAAACGTAATCAGTACATGAACAAGTACTATCCACCAGGTAAACGTAATCTGTAAACTGTAGTACATGAACAAGTACTATCCACCAGGTAAACGTAATCTGTAAACTGTACAGTACATGAACAAGTACTATCCACCAGGTAAACGTAATCTGTAAATTGTACAGTACATGAACAAGTACTATCCACCAGGTAAACGTAATCTCTAAATTGTACAGTACATGAACAAGTACTATCCACCAGGTAAACGTAATCTGTAAACTGTTACAGTGCATGAACAAGTACTATCCACCAGGTAAACGTAATCTGTAAACTGTACAGTAAATGAACAAGTACTATCCACCAGGTAAATGTAATCTTTAAACTGAACAGTACATGAACAAGTACTATCCACCAGGTAAACGTAATCTGTAAACTGTACAGTACATGAACAAGTACTATCCACCAGGAAAATGTAATCTGTAAACTGTACAGTACATGAACAAGTACTTTCTATCAGATACATTACTTTGCAAATATCAATCAGGTACATGTACTCTTTAAACGGTACAGTACATGTACAAGTAATATAACGGCAGATAAATGTACTCTGTAAACTGAACATGAACAAGTACTATTCACTAGATACATGAACTCTGTAAACTGTACAGTCCTTTAAAAAGTACTTTCCACCAGGTACATGTACTCTGTAAACTTAAAGTACATGAACAAGTACTTTACACCAGGTACATTTACTCTGTAAACTGTAAAGTACATGAAAAAGTACTTTATGGCTAATTAAATATAGTCTAAAAATTGCTTTACATTTTTTTATCTTAATGAGATATCGATTTGTTTGTTTAGATTTTAAATACCAGGAGTTTGGTTCCCAACTCCGTGCAGAGTTCTTTAATGCAACAGAGTGGGCAGACATTGTCGCTAGTTCAGGTCAGGGGCGGAAACTTTTAATATTAAACTCATAACTTAAACTTAGTTTCAATTACACTAATAAACATCATAGTTCACTAACTGTTTATATTACTAGGATCAAAGTACTATGTACTAACTAGTAAACATCATAGTTCACAAACTGTTTATATTACTAGGAGCAAAATACTATGTACTAACTAGTAAACATCATAGTTCACTAACTGTTTATATTACTAGGAACAAAGTACTATGTACTAACTAGTAAACATCATAGTTCATTAACTGTTTATATTACTAGGAGCAAAGTACTATGTACTAACTAGTAAACATCATAGTTCACTAACTGTTTATATTACTAGGAGCAAAGTACTATGTACTAACTAGTAAACATCATGATGGGTTCTCTAATTGGCCGAGCTCCAGAAATTTTGGCTGGAATTCCAGAGTAGGTTTTTCTCTTTAGATCTTATCTGATCAATTCTACCTCCATCCTAACCAATCTTACCTCGATCCTGATCAAGCCTACCTCCATCCTGATCAATCTTACCTCCATCCTGGTCAATCCTACCTCCATCCTAACCAATCTTACCTCGATCCTGATCAATCTTACCTCCTTCCTGGTCAATCCTGCTTCCATGCTGATCAATTCTACCTACATCCCGATCAAACCTACCTCCATACTAATCAATCCTACCTTCATCCTAATCAATTCTACTTCCATCCTGATCAATTCTACCTACATCCTGATCATTCCTACCTCCATCCTGATCAATCTTACCTCCATTCTGGTCCATTCTACTTACATCCTGATCAATCCTACCTCCATCCTGATCAATCTTACCTCCATTCTGGTCAATTCTACTTACATCCTGATCAATCCTACCGCCATCCTGATCAATCTAACCTCGATCCTGATCAATCTAACCTCGATCCTGATCAATCCTACCTCCATCCTGATCAATCCTACCTTCATCCTGATCAATCCTACCTCCATCCTCTTTAATCCAACCTCCATATTAAACAAACCTATCTTATTCCTGATGAATCCTATATATTAATATTATAGGACTAATCCTGATGAATCCTTTATATTAGAGTGCCTGGCGTTGGCCGTAAAATTTAAAAAAAACGACTTTTTAGTAACCTTTGTTACCCCCGGAGAAGTAGGCCAGCCACAACAATTTCTCGTCCGAGCCACATTCTTCTAATTTTCTCGTCCGAGCCACCTCGAAAAAATCTTCCTGCGATTATTATTTGTTTTAAAGATTATAATTCTTGAAGATAAAACTATTTTAAAGCTGAAGTGTCCGGCGTTACCCGTAGAATTAAAAAAACAACTTTAAGATGTTGAAAACATTTTTTTTTGGATTTTTTCAGCCTTTGTTATCCCCGAAATTCCCCTGGGTTCCCTCGAAAAAAAATGTCAGCCCAGTCGGTTCAGCCGCTTGTCCGGCTAGAGGGAACATATATACGAATGTCTAGTTTTATCATATAGAAGAAGAAGATATAGGACTATATATTAAGGATATAGGACCTAAACGTGATGTTATTGGTGAGCTTGCTGATGCGTTTAGAGCTGATGGAAGAGTAGAGTTTGGTCTTTATCATTCTCTCTTCGAATGGTTTAATCCTCTATATTTACAGGTGGAGACGTTTTCTCTTTTTTACTTGGATTGGACATATAGAATAATAATCATGTTCTCAGGAAATTGCAATAAATTTTAACAGGAATCTTTATGTCCGATACAGCAAATAAAAAAATATGTTTTTATTAGCAAAAATTTTTGGAAGAAAAAACTCAGGTTAGTAATAACTTTGTAAACCTCAGGTCATTAATAACTTTATAAACCTCAGGTTAGTAATAACTTTTTACACCTCAGGTTAGTAATAGCTTTATAAACATCAGGTCAGAAATAACTTTATAAACCTCAGGTCAGTAATAACTTTATAAACCTTAGGTTATTAATAACTTTATAAACTCCAGGTTAGTAATAACTTGATAAATCTCAAGTCAGTAATAACTTTATAAAAAAAAAGTTGTTTGAGCACTTTGCGTCTTTCTTAAATGGACTTAAGCAGTCACTTTTGTAAAGAACCACAATTGAGAATTTAATCAGTTCTTTTAAATTAAAACTCTCGACATCTAATTTATGGATGATCACATAAAGATTGTAAAGGACAATGCACGGTAAATCCTGCATTGTCATTTTTGATTGAAGGGCAAGAGTCACTTGAAATTATGCTAATAGGCACGCCTTGTAAATATTTTCTCTTTAAAATGTTACTTTTTCTGTGAGAATAGTTTGTTTGTAGATTTTTAAAAAATAATTTTAATTTGAAAAAAATCGAAAAACTTGATTTTAAAATCCACGGCAAAATCGAAATTTTAATATATTTCACCATCGTTAATAGTCCAGTTTACTATTATCTTGTTAAAGGGACTGTAAAGGAAAAATGAAAGGGGGTATAGGCTGAAAGCTAATCACTTTAGCTCTTGATCGCGACCCATGAAAGTTTTATCTGAAAGTTTAATTTGAAAAAAGATCGAAAAACTTGATTTTAAAATCCACGGAAAAATCTAAATTTCAATATATTTCACTATCGTTAATAGTTCATTTTACTATTATCTTGTTAAGTGGTTAAATTTTGAATTTATAATTGCTAGGTTTAAATAAAAAATCTTGATTTGGAAATTAAATTTTTCATTTTTAATTAAATTCTAGTTTCTGAGAATAAATTATTTGAAATCTCCAGAGACGCCTCTGAGCCGGGATTATTTTTCTATTAAACGAAAACCTTTAAATACAGCATCAAGTGTTATTTATTAAAAACGAATAATCAAATAGAAAATGATTACTTTTTTATTACTGAATTAACCAAGCACCTCAACTGTTGCACATAAAGACGATTTATCAGATTTGATATTTTTAATATATTATTTCACTAGAACTACATATTTAATCAATTTATTCATACACAATGCTAATTCTTTTAAATAAATTTGCGTTTAAGGATTCTTATTGACTAGCTTCATCTGAAAACTTAATCTCTTTTCAATATGTTAGTTCTATACTTCAGCAAAATTGGATTCTAATGGGCTGCGGGGGGGATTATTATTTATTTATGTTATTATAATTTTTTTTCTATGTTTGTTTAAAATACTTTTATTTTGATCGAAAAAAAACTAGAAAAATTAAAAATCACAGCAAAAACTTTTTGATACCCATTTCAATAACATATATAGTTTTATTCAGTTTTACTCAAATTGTTTAAAAGCAGGTCGGTAAAGTTACTTAATCACCCTGTTTCAGGGTGATTAAATAACTTTATCACCCTACCATAAGACAAATTAGGTATGAAATTTGAAAGCAAGGTAAAAAGTTACTTTTTTGCCTGGTTGTAGGGCGATAAAGTCACTTAATCACCCTACAACGGAAAATATTACGTGTGATAAATTCCATCAAAATTGAATTAAAGTATCAGTGATCATGCATTTATCTTATTTTAGTTGTGTAGAAAACGATCAATTCATATAACCTAACAGAACATAACCTAACCTAAAAATATATAAATCTATACATCTCAAATCTATGAATAACACAAATCTATTGGAATTCATCAATGAATCTTCAACAAAATTTAATCGGGAGGAGATTCTCTCTTTCAGCATTTAATTAAATGTATAATATATTCAAATTTGGTTTTTGTTAAACTATGTCAGGCTAGAAGGGATTGTGATGGCATATCCCACCATAGGTCAAGAAGCTTTTGGACACCTCCTTAGCTTCATGAATTGAATTGAATGGTAGAATTTGTAAACGTATTTGTATGCAAATTGTCTATTTACTATGTGAAGCTGCAGGGTGACCGCAAAAGGGGGTTAGAATTTCCAAACACTTAAAATGATTTAAATGACTTGCTATTGTGCTCCAGCATTTATCTTTTAATCTAAAACGGAGAAGCTTAAGTTTCTGATTGTTCATTAGTTTGGTGTCAAAATATGTCGAATATTCGTAAATCTCTGATTTTCTGAAATCCAACCTAAGATTTCAGCAACTCAGGATTCTATGTGCGATTTGATGGACCTTGGAAAAAGGCCAATTCTTTGCATGGCAGCAAATAGGGACCACTTTGAGAAATGATTTGCTTTAAAGTTTATTTGCAATTAAATAATGTCAATATTTGTATGGTGAATATCCAATATATCCAGGTTGTATGGTGAATATCCAATATATCCAGGTTGTATGGTGAATATCCAATATATCCAGGTTGTATGGTGAATATCCAATGCATCCAGGTTGTATGATGTATATCCAATATATCCAGGTTGTATGATGTATATCCAATATATCCAGGTTGTAAAGTGTATATCCAATATATCCTGAGCTGAAAACTTTAGAATGGTGGATATCAGGATTAATGCTTAATCCACTCTTTTTCTTAATCTCCAGATTAAATATGGCTTGTTTTCCTCATGAATTTAATCTCCAGATAAGTCAACAGATCGGGATTAAGGATATCCCATTCTAAAGTTTTCAGCTCAGGTTGTAAGGCGAATTTCCAATATATCCAGGTTCTCTGGTCGGATGGAGAATGGGAAGCTCTGGATACCTACTGGAGATCAAAAGAGTTTCTTGCCTGGCTTTATAATGATAGTCCAGTCAAGGATACTGTTGTAGCCAATGATAGGTAAAGAAAAATATACGAGATAAAATATATATTTAAACAAGTATTAATATCAAGTGCATTTTGTCAAAAAATATAAATAAATAGAGTTCTATCATCTGATGTTCCTTTCTCGAGAAATTGATAAAAAACTTTGTCAAAGTTATACCAAAACAAGAATCTAAGTTTTAAACGGATTCAGCAAATACGCAACCAATCTGAAAACTATGATATCCCAGAGGAGCCTGAGCAACTAAGGTTTCCTCCTATTAATATTTGAATTTAATAATTTTTAATCGATATAATTGATAATATGTATAATGTATATTGTACAATTGATATGTCTGTATCACGGGACCAGAACTTCCACCAATTGCAGTGCAGTATCATTGTCACGTGATATAGGAGACACGTGACAATGATATTATGATACTGCACTGCCATTGGTGAAAATTCTGGTCATGTGATACTGCAACGTTTCAATTATAGTATCCATTATATCTCTTAAAAATGCTAAATATGATTTGTTTAAAACTTGGAATATTATACCAAATCTCATATATATATATATGGTTTGGTATAACTTTGACACAGTTTTATATAAATTTCTCGAGACAGGAACATCAGATAAAACTCTTATATGTTTCGATCAACTTCTAAAATGCTTAGGTTTCAGCCTTTACCCCCCTTCATGTTTCCTTAACAGTCCCTTCATTATTCAATAACGCGGACAGCCCCTTTATAAATATTCAATAACACGGACAGTCCCTTAAATATTTAATTATACGGACAGACCCTTAAATATTCAATAATACGGACAATCCCTTAAATATTCAATAACACGGACAGTCCCTTAAATATTCAATAACGCGGACAGTCCCTTAAATATTCAATAACACGGACAGTCCCTTAAATATTCAATAACACGGACAGTCCCTTAAATATTCAATAACACGGACAGTCCCTTAAATATTCAATAACACGGACAGACCCTTCAATATTCAATAATACGGACAATCTCTTAAATATTCAATAATACGGACAGTCCCTTAAATATTCAATAATACGGACAGTCCCTTAAATATTCAATAACTCGGACAGTCCCTTAGATATTCAATAACTCGGACAGTCCCTTAAATATTCAATAATACGGACAGACCCTTAAATATTCAATAATACGGACAGACCCTTAAATATTCAATAACTCGGACAGTCCAGTCCCTTTAATATTTTAATTTCTATCAGTGAACAGTTTTTCAATTAGTTATAAGAAATCAATATTCAATGGATTTATTTTCAGAAATTCAGAAATTAATTTTATTAATTTTTTCTCCAGAAGAACGTAAGTTTTAGTTATAATTATTTTTGCTACAAAACCAAAATATTACAATTTAATTTTATATGACATTTACTGATTTGAAGCAGGACCACAACCAATCAAAAAATAAAGATTAGACCTATTATCAGTCTTTTCTAATCCTTCCATTGACTTAATACCTAGTGACAACAATATTTATTTTTCTAATCCCACGTTATTGTCCCGGCCGGATTTCATGTAATTACGTAATTATAAAAATATCTTTAAATTACTCAACGCAGAGCAAATAATTCTCGACCAGAGTTCAAAAATTTTGTGCAAGAAATCTAATGTATTTACAGTGACAACTTATACATTTGAAAAACTAGTGCTTCGTTTTTGGTTTAGCTTATTTTAATTTAATCCTTCGGACGACAAAAGATACGGCTAACTGCTTGATCCTGGGATTATTATCCCTGACCTGAAAACTTAAGAATGGTGGATAAAGAGATCAATGCTTATTATTATTCTCCGGATTAATTGACCGAACGGGATTAAGGATATCCCATTTTAAAGTGTACAGCTCTGAGCTGGGAACTTTTGAATGGTGGATATCGGGATTAATGCTTGATCCACTCTTTTTCCTAATCTCACGATTGAATAATGCTTATTCTCCTTTTATTTTCAATCTCAAGATTAATAAACCTATGGGGATTAAGGATATCACAATCTTAAGTTTTCAGCTCTGATCGTTTGATCTCAATATCCACCATGCGGGCACTTTTAATTTAAGGATATATAAAAAAAACTTTCCATATCTTTCAGTTTAGTTATTCGTCCCCTAATTAAAGTTCCCTTGAACTCCTGACTAGGTACAATTACCATGCGGGATATCGAATACAGATTTAATAAATCTGCAAATGTACATAAAGTTTCCAAGTTTTCTATTTGTTTATTTTGTGTCAGGTGGGGCCGAGATATTCTCTGTAAGCATGGTGATTTCTACACCTGCACAGATAGATACAACCCAGGGGTTCTACAGAAACATAAATGGGAGAATGCTATGACAATTGACAGGTATTTCAGGTTGATGAATCCTATTTTAATGGATAGTTCTTGCAAATAAGATAGTTAACGATTCATAATGCTATTACAACAGTTGTTAGGTACTTTCCTAAAATAAAATTTCAATGGTATTTCCCAAGTCTGTCCTAGCCGCAGCCTGTGATGCCTCAGAAGGCCTACTAAGGTTTCCAACGCAAATGGATTTAACCTGCGAGCAATTGCGGGCCCTGTAATTTCCTCGCAATTTTGTGCTTTTCCGAGTAAGACGAGAACAGTAGCGCGCAATTCCGCGCAACGGAATTCCGATTGGATATCCTAGGCCTAACATAACCCATGGGACGTTGCCACCTGGGAAATTGTCACTAATAAAGTCGCCATTGGAAAAATGTCTTTGTGGAAATACCTAACTGCACCTTACAACATTGTTATAGAAACAACTATCATTTTGTTTTAAATAGCGAATTAAAAAATCGTTTCAAATAAACGAACATTTTTGTTCATAATTATGAACAAAGTGTCAGAGATATCTCACATATTTTAGTTATTGTATTCATTTTCAAACACAAAATACAAAATAATAATGTATGGTCCAGCTAAAAACAAAGAAAAAAGAAAATTTAATTGAAAAATTAATTTTTAATAATTTTGTTCTGATCTGTATTTGTTGAAACAAACTATAATGCATATTGTAATCATAACTGAATATTCATTCATTGTGCATTTACAAGTAGATAATTAGTCAGCTCTCAAATAATCAAACATTTTCAGAAATCCATTTATTAAACTTATAAATACATTCAGCAAAGGTAGCAATGGATTGTCCTTGACTGCAGTAGCCTTTGACATCCAATCATTAGCAGTAGGGTGTGAATCCATACTCTCTTGACAGATTTAATAATTCCAAAGGTTGTTCAAAGGTTTCGGCACTATTTAGTCCTTGACTATATTCCTAAAATGTTGTTCGTAACTTCGAATAAAATGTTTTAGTGTCGAAATACTTTCTTTAATTTAGGTATTACGGACAAAATGTTAGATTTTTCTCTCACTTCAATTGTTCATGGTTCATTTATTTTTTACATAAATATTTTCATGGAAAATTTTATATCTAAAATAGAAAATTTAATTTAATTTTTTTTAAAAACTTTTTTAGAATTCAAGTTTTTATTAAAGTTTCATTATTTGTGGTAAACCCTGTGTTCAGTTTTCATCTGCTCTTTACATTTCAATTTGTTTAAACACTGTGTTTAACTATATCCCAGGATTATCCGTTAATACCACTTTTCCAGAGTATTCTCAAAACTTGAATTCTTTAATTTATATTTTGTTCGTTTATCTTAAAGGGACTTATTAAGCATATTTAAAGTGGCCTGCCATATCAATGCCCGATTCACAGCAGTACCCTTCAAACCTTTATCAGATCAATAATGTGGAAGATAATTTCGTTTTTTTGGTTTAAAAAATTTGTATATATATTTGTTTTTTTGCAGTAAAAAAATGCGCAACTCACTTTTATAATGAAACAACAATTGAAATAATCCGTTTTCAAAATTATTAACATTGATATCTAGTTCATACTTGACCAGGCAAAGCTTTTAAGGGTACCGTTGTAAATCGGACATTGTCATCTATGCATGAAGGGTCACAAAATGATGTTTACTGCAGTCCCTTTAGTATACATTTTTATTGTCAAAATCATCATTTTCAACAGGCCAGCTTCATTATAATTACTCCTAGGAAAAGTTGGGGATATAGAAGAAATATGAACCTTGAAGATATTCTAACAATGGAGGAATTAACGGGTAAATAAAAAATCATTAAAGAGAGTGTTCGCTAAAAAAGGGGGAAAGGTTGATATCGAATTGAAACCAAATAATGCAGCTAGCTCTGTGAATATATATGGACGCTACGTTCTTAGACGTGTTGAACCATTATCTTCTAATGGTCGCAACAAAGAGAAGTAAAATTAGTAGCGATCAAATTCGAAAATAGTCTATACCTCTTTCATTTTTCGCGAACACTCCCTTTAAACTAATCTAACATCTCAGACAATGGGGTTTAAAGTCGAAATTCCAAAACTGCTTTTACTTTAATCTTTGTACCGCTCAGAATTGTGCTCAATAGTACACAACACAATTGCGTTATATTAAATAGCGATAATGTCGCGCCTTTGCACGGTAGTAAATTTAATTGTTATGATACATTCGAAATGCTTGAAAGATGATTTAAGCATATGAAGACGTGTTTAAGAACGACCAAGAACGACTGATTTGGCTTCGTTGAAGTTTTTTTCTCTGGAAGAGCATAATCAAAATAAGTAGTTTAATTCTTGTTGATCTTATCATTCTTCTTTTCANAAGAAGGATCTTTTAAAATCAAATCTAGGAGATTAATAAAAAATGTCTGACTGACAACTTATTAACTATTATTTCATTGAAAATTTAATAATTTTATTTTCAGAAACTCTGGCAATGACTATTAGGAATAAATACAATGTATATTTTTATTTAGACTATATATTGCCTACTATGGTATTAACTTTATAAAAATGAATACAAAGAAGAAATGAGTTTTTTAGCAAAAATGTCCTTGATAAAAAAATTATTGAAATTCTAAAGATTTAAAGTTTTTTCCCATTAATTATGAAAAGAACTTAATATAAAGGTAGGTAATTATATCAAGATAATAAAGACGACTTTATATTTTAGTTTTAATTGTTAACAAGCTTTTTTATAATTAAAAGCTTACACGTAAATAAAGAAAAGCTTTTTTTGACAACTTCTTTTTTTCCTGTGCTTTTGTGTATTCATGCTGTTTAAAAGCTAGATATAAATCTAAATTCAAATCAAAAGTCGTCTTCTTTATATTAATATAATCGCCTACCACCGAGGTAGATGTTAAAATTCAATTGTGAGGTTTCCTTTTAAGATTTAAAAATAATATTTCACCTTTTCAAAGTTTTTGAAAACTGTCCATTTACACTAATCTCAATAAAGGGGATGGTTCCATTGAAAGAAATACAAAGGAACTGAGTTTTCTCAAAAAAAAAATATCCTTGATCTAAAGATTTATGAAATTCTAAAGATTTATGAAATTCTAAAGATTTATGAAATTCTAAAGATTTATGAAATTCTAAAGATTTATGAAATTCTAAAGATTTATGAAATTCAATTCTAAAGATTTATGAAATTCTAAAGATTTATGAAATTCTAAAGATTTATGAAATTCTAAAGATTTATGAAATTCTAAAGATTTATGAAATTCGAAAGATTTAAATTTTTTTTCCATGACATAACACGATGAAGAGATATAAACGTGTAGGTCTTAATTCATATTGTATATACAAGATTTAAAATTTAATTGTGAGGTTTCCAGTTAAGATTTTAAAATTATTGAAAACTGTCCATTTACATTAATCACACTAGAAGTGTATGGTTCAGTTGGTTTGACCGTCTATAGTGTGTTTGTAATATGGGTAAAATTGTTCATTCGTGATTTGTTACTGGTTACCCACAAAGGATGAGACTGTAAAGACGATTTGAAACTCTTCAAACATGAAGATTTGAAACTCTTCAAATATGAAGATTTGAAACTCTTAAAACATGAAGATTTGAAACTCTGCAAACATGAAGATTGGAAACTCTAAAACATGAAAACTTTAAGGTTAACATAAGTCTTTTGCCTTACAAACAGTCCTTAAATGCTTATTTGATGATTTGAAAAAGCTTACAGACAGTTTTAATTTCGTAGATTCGTCTCTGAAGATCCATCCTTTGTGGGTAAACCTGCAGGTTAAAATTTAAATAAACGCTGAATTGCTATAGTTGGAAAACTGTAATTCTTTAAGGACGTGGTTGTAATTTCAGGTGCCTGATTCACAATGGTACCTTTAAACCTTTATCTGATAAAACGTGGAAGATACAGAGTTACCCACTAAGGACGAGTCTGTAAAGACGACCGGAAACTCTTAAAATGTGACAATACTAAGGTTTTATTATGTATTCTGTCTCTAATGGCGTATATAATGAATTTGCAAAGAAAGAAATAAGTTAAAAGTTGCAGGGAATCATAAATATAAGGAAACAGAGAGTATAAATTTCGTACAATCGTCTTTGAAGTCTCATTCTTTATGGGTAGATCTGTATCAATATATTTTTAGCTTGAAAACGAAAAGGTTTTAATCGTAATAATTTCTTCCATTGTTTCTGAGGCAGCAAATTTGAAGAAGATGATGAAAATCTGATACGTTTTCGATCAGATAAAGCTTTTAATGTTACCGTTGTGAGTCAGGCATGCTAATTTTTAATGGAGAGTTGCTTGCATAGATAAAGATAGATTGCGCATAAGACGACATTTCTCATCTTGAAAGATATAAATGTACAGAGATGTTTTAAAGATATTCCTATTATATAGATTAACTAGGTCGGTCGTGAACATTGGCTGTTCTTATGTCATTGAGTACTTGTGGTGTACATGAGCTCTGTAGAGAGAAATTTAAGTTAGTTTAGTCCTTTTCATGTCCTTCTTCAGTTCTCGTCAATATGATATATTGCTCAGTGAAATATTGTTGTTCAAATAGTTCCATTCCCGGAGTTATTTTACACTCTATTATGAAAACCATTAGAACACCTAACCACCCCGCTTATCATTGAAGTACACTTTGACCCCTAGAAGTATGAGTTCGCGAACTGTACAATTCTTGGTGATTTTGCGTACATAAGCTATCTATGTTTATTTATTTATCTATGGATAATCCTATGGTTATATTATGTATTCTGTCTCTAATGGCGTATGTAATGAATTTGCAAAGAAAGAAATAAGTTAAAAGTTGCAGGGAATCATAAATATAAGGATTACAGAGAGTATAAATTTCGTACAATCGTCTTTAAAGTCTCATTCTTTATGGGTAGCACTGTATCAATATATTTTAGCTTGAAAACGAAAAGGTTTTAATTGTAATAATTTCCTCCATTGTTTCTAAAGCAGTAAATTTGAAGAAGATGATGAAAATCTCATACATTTTTGATCAGATGAAGCTTTTAATGTTACCGTTGGGATTCAGGCACGTTTTTCATAACGTCTATAGTCCTTCAGAATAAAGAGCTAAAAAAAAACTAATGTATTTTATAAAGTTGTGGAGGTAACCTGTTAATGAATGTTGGACCAAACAGTCAAGGATCTATAGATACAATCTTCCAAGAAAGATTAAGGTACAAAAATATAAATATTCACTAATAATCAGCGTTTACGATCAATTTCATTTCGACTCGGATTCGATATAAGCAGATTCGGTCCAACCTTACAAAATCAATTATAGTTAATAAGAAACTATTTTCTATTAAAATTATTAATATTTATAATTATATATCTATTTTTTTCTGATATTGTTTCTCTTATAGTACAGCCGTCGTCGTATATTTCAATACAACGAAGATAACTTTCGATTTGAATTTTTAATTTCGACCAAGCTTTCAAACAGCATGGAAACAAAGAGAAGCTGGCAATTAACAGCTTCTCTTTGTTTACTTGTAAACTTGAAATTTGAAAAAAGCTTGCTGGAAATCAGATTTTAAATGGTATTGATATAAAACGCCAACCACTGTAGGACAGGATAGGAAATAAATTATTTTGTTTCTCCTGTTTTGAAGCTAAGTTAGGTTAAAAATAAAAATAACAAGGAAAGAGAAAATAATCCTGGTATACTGGAAATCATAGATTATTCAGATACAACACAAGATGTGTACTTAAATTCAAATTAAATATTAATTCTGCAATTACTTCTTTTATTCAAGAGCTATAGAGAAGAACAAACATGTTTTGAATTTCTAATATATAAACGAAAAAATACTTGTTTGTAAAATCAAAACTAGAGGAGCCTTTATAAAGTAAGCACTAATGAACCAGAAGATTCACTCAGAACACTAAACTAAGCTAGTAGGGTAGGTAGTAGGCCGGGTTCTGTAAAAAATCTTGCCGCCCCATCAAAGTTGAAACCGAGCCGGCATAGGATAGGGCTCAGCAGGTACTTGCCGCGCGTCACTGAGTCCAGTACAAGATGTCGGTCTGGTCCGATTTCAAATTGACCCTAGTCCACCATGCCCGTCCTTCCGAAACTGTGTATTCAATTTGTCTAGTATTAACACATGTTTCAACACACTAATAATATATAACACATGAACGGAAACATCCTCCGCATAGAATATCACTTGGGTTTTTTTACATATTATAATGCACATGCACATACATGACCCAAATGGACTCTTGTTGTAATTTCAAGTGACCCTCCATTTATAGAGGTACCCTTCAAACCTACAACTGATTATTTAAGCGGAGGATATCGTCGTTTTTAAATCTTGAAACGGGTATTCATTCATAGACCCCTGGATAATAATTCATGTGTTCCACTAAAAAAACATGCTACTTGAAGATCGTTTTTTTTCTCTGATAGAATTTTCAACTTTCATAAGTCAACCTAATTTTTTAGGTAACAATTTTGAATCAGAAGTAAAAAAATACCTCTAGTCCTTGAACTTCAAAAACGCGGTCTGTCTTTTTTAGCTTTCAAAATTGCTGGAGAATGGAGAATTTGTGCAGAATTCCATTTATTAAATCAAACGAAAATTGCCTAAATCTGAACGATTTTACAAGCAAAATTCTTGAAACAACAAAACAAAATAGCCCTAGTCCTGGCATTTCCAAAAGGTGGTATCATCTTTTGTTGGTAACCCTGTATGTTCGATTATGTAATGTAATGGATATCTAATATGTACGATTATGTATCGCACTGCACTGAGACTACTGTACTGTGCTTCATATCTAATTTCTACGATTATGTACTGTACTGCTTATATCTCATAAACGATCATGTACTGTACTGCAGACAAATGGGAGACTGGTTGAAGGTGAACGGTGAGGCTGTGTACAGTTCTATTCCCTGGACTGTACAGAACGATACAATTAACAGCAAGGTAAAATTAATAAATAATTTAAAAAAAGAGTTTATTATTGATAATTACTCTTTCTTAAAAGAGCTGATTGCGTCATTTTCAGTGACCTCGATACAAAGATTGCATCGGTAATTAACCTTGAAATCTTTGTCGCGAGCTCAAATTAGATATCAATGTTTTTGTTTCTCTAAACTGTTTTTTTTCATTTGTGGTTTCTCTGTGAAAGTGGTCTGGTAAACAGTATATTTTGTTTACGTCAGGTATACAAGTATATTCTGTTTAGGTCTGGTAAACAGTATATTCTGTTTAGGTCTGGTATATAAGTATTCTGTTTAGGTCTGGTAAAAAGTATTTTCTGTTTAGGTCAGGTATAAAGTATACTCGGTATAAGTCTGGTATTCAGTATATTCAGCTAAGGTCTGGTATACAGTATATTCTGTTTAGGTCTGGTATTCAGTATATTCTGTGTAGGTATGGTAAACAATATATTCATTTTAGGTCTGGTATACAGTATATTTTGCTTAGGTCTGGTATGCAGTGTATTGTTTAGATCTGGTATAAAAAAAGAGTTCTGCTTAGATCTGGTATACAAGGATATTCTGTTTATGTCTGGTATACAGTGTATTCTGTTCAGGTCTGGTATACAGTATATTTTGTTTAGGTCTGGTATACAGTATATTATGTTTAGGTCTAGTATATATATTGTTTAGATCTGGTATACAAGTATATTCTGTTTAGGTCTGGTATACAATTAGGGTAGATAAGCAAAGTGGAACTCTTGTATACGGTATACTGCTGGATTGGCCTCTAGACAGACAGGTTACTGCATTTACTTATCATTATTTTTGTTATTGTTATTGTTATTGTTATTGTTATTGCTATTGTTATTGTTATTGTTATTGTTATTGTTATTGTTATTGCTATTGTTATTGTTATTGTTATTGTTATTGTTATTGTTGTTGCTATTGTTATTGTTATTGTTATTGATTAAGGTTGAATTGGGTAGTCCTGAGCCTACAGCAAATACCAAGATTAGTATTCTTGGTTCCAATACAACAATCAGCTGGAAGGTAGGAACACAAAGCTTAATCAAAAATGTTAGGATAAAAAATTGAATTTTATTGTAATTTTGTATTCTGAATATGGGAATAATGTGATTAACATCAACAACTAATATTTAAAGAAATAATAATTTTTTTTTTGACAGCTAAGCTTCTTAAAAACTGTTTTTTCATTATCACCCCCTTTCCTCTCTCTTCAAAAATAAATAATATTTAGGGAGGAAATAAATAAAATTTGATGTGAAAAAATTCAATATTGCGTCCACTTTTTCATGTACCATTCCGGGGGCAATGGACACTGGGGAACATCTAATAATTAAAACTACATTTTTAAAATATAGGCCAAAGAAGGAGGAGGGTTGAGTTTGGAACTTCCGCCTAGAGATGAAATATCAAGCAATTGGGCCTGGGTTATCAGGTAGTTTATACTTTATATACAGTATACGGTATAGTTATCAGGTAGTTTATATACAGTATACAGTATACAGTATACAGTATAGTTATCAGATAGTTTTTATACAGTATACAGTATACAGTATAGTTATCAGGTAGTTTATACTTTATATACAGTATACGGTATAGTTATCAGGTAGTTTATATACAGTATACAGTATACAGTATACAGTATACAGTATAGTTATCAGGTAGTTTATATACAGTATACAGTATAATTATCAGGTAGTTTATATACAGTATACAGTATAGTTATCAGGTAGTTTATATACAGTATACAGTATAATTATCAGGTAGTTTATATACAGTATACTTATCAGGTAGTTTATATACAGTATACAGTATAATTATCAGGTAGTTTATATACAGTATACAGTATAGTCTCTACGCAAATAGAGGAATGCTCGATTTCTAACTCTACCCTTTAATTAAACAACGAGGGTAGACAGGGTAGAGGGTAGACAACGTGTGTTTATCTCTAAAAAGGTGTTTAATTGCTATAAAACCGGAGTTTACGCTAGCGTACATTATGAACTGAACACAGTTGACACTACTTTATAATCCTTGAAAATCCATATTTTTCTATGGAATGTCTAAAATTTCTAAATTTTATTCCTTAAATATAAAACAAAGTGTTCATCAATTACACGCGTTTTTGTATGAAAAAGGGAAAGTCCATAATCAGTCAAATGTTTAAAGGGCACTGTTGTGAATTGTACATGCCATTTTTACAAATGGAGGGAAACTTGAAGCTACGCCAACACCTCCTTTAAAGATTTAAGAATCACATGGAATTTGGTTAGTAATCCCTTTATAATATTTCAGGTTGGAGGAGTTGGGTAATGCAGGAAATAATGTTTGGTGAAAAACTCAACACAAATAATATAATGCTTTTATTTAATGAACAAATTATTAAATATAAAATTGAAAAAATTATGGAAACATTATCATGTTTAAAATTAAATTTTTTTTTCATATTTTGGAGAAATGTCTAGAATAATCAATTAAATCAACTGCTGATATGCTTAATATTATATACACGAAAACGAAAACTTACAGTTGAGAGACGACTTGAAGATAGTCTTTGACAACTTTGATTCTTAAAACAATGACCTCAAAATTTCCCTAATCCTGGTGTTTTCAAAATGTGGTCTGCCTTTTCTATGCTTTAAAAATTACCGCGGAGATATAGAATTTAGTTTAGAGTTCAATTTACCAAATAAAAGTAATAATTTTCTAAATATAAACGAAGTTAATCATATCTCAGAAATCTTAAAAGCAAAATAAATGCAGGACACATTTTGAAAATTTCTTGAGTAGTTTTTTTTTGGCGACTAAAGATTCCAAATATTTGCTTGTAAAAATAAGTTCACAAATGGATTATATTTACTTATTTCAAAGATCAAAGAGAATCTTTATGTTGTCTCTCAACTGTCATGTAACAGAGCGTCGCTGTGCCATATTATATTAGATGATCTCCAAGCTTAACGCCAAATTAAACACATAATACTCGAAAAACCTAGCAGTTTTGCAAGAACATTATTAAATTAGGGTTATTCAATTTTTTAAAATGATTCAAACTTCTTAAATTTTCTGGTTAATCCCGTAAACCGTAATTTAGACCCATTGCCGATCTAAAATGATGAGGTACACCTTGTATGAAAAAAAGCAGATGTCACAAGAATAAACGAGACCTACAATCTTGTAAATAAGACGATCCTAAAGTTAAAATAAGATGCAGGCAATCTTATAAAAACGAGTCAGTATAAATTCCGTACAATCGCCTCTGAAGTTTCATCCTTTGTGGATAACCCTGTACATAATTAAAGTGATTGGTGTACAACATTGGACATGTCGTAACTTTTGTAAGGAGTATCATATATCTTGAATGCTTAATCTTGTTCCTAAAATCAAATTTATCCCTGAATGTCGATGACCACCACGGAATATTAAAGAGGAATCAAATTTATCCCTGAATGTCGATGACCACCACGGAATATTAAAGAGGAATCAAATTTATCCCTGAATGTCGATGACCACCACAATCAAATTTATCCCTGAATGTCGATGACCACCACGGAATATTAAAGAGGAATCAAATTTATCCCTGAATGTCGATGACCACCACAGAATACTAAAGAGGAATCAAATTTATCCCTGAATGTCGATGACCACCACGGAATACTAAAGAGGAATCAAATTTATCCCTGATAGTTCGATGACCACCACGGAATACTAAAGAGGAATCAAATTTATCCCTGAATGTCGATGACCACCACGGAATACTTAAGAGGAATCAAATTTATCCCTGAATGTTGATGACCACCACGGAATATTAAAGAGGAATTAAATAAATCCGTTTGGTCAATGATTGATCCCAAGCTCAACACAGAGGTTTGGACTTCTAAAATCTTTTGTCGGGTGTTTTTTAATGCACTTAATTGCTGAAAATTAAAACTTACCACAGTGGATGATCAAGGGGGCCAAACAGGAATTTACAAATTTTACTAAAAATTGTCATATTAAATGTTTATCAAGGAATGAAGTAAGATTTTTAAAATTTGGATATCCATCTACATATACTTGCGAATCCGGATCCAAGAATCAAATAGATCTACCCGGATCCTTCCTTCATCTGTCTAAGATCCGGAATATTTTTTCTTTAATACAATTCCCAAAATAGAAAATAATCCAAATGAAGTGGTTAATAAGAAAAGAACCAATGTGTTTAATATTTTTATGTATTTCTTATTTATTCTGTTATCCTCTGTCTCCAGGGATATTTATTTAAAATTATATTCCTTACTTTTTTATCTTTTCCACAAAACATTTAATTCAAAACTAATTTTTTATTCTTTTAACGTCTTTTATTCTTCCTTATACAAAATAAATTGAAAGCTTCTTTTACAACAGATTTTCATTGTTTAATTCAAGCATGATAATTGAAAAGTAAAAACATTAAAGAAATCGATCTTATAAAAAAATTAGATAATTCAGAAATGAATCTTTTATAGTTAATAATTATAAAAATTTTCGAGATTTCCTAAATCTGGTCAAAGTTTATCAAACAAAACCAAAATTATGAGGGTCAATAAATATCTATCAAAAGAACAAAAAGCGTTTTCAAATGAATGGATGAGACCCGCTCGCTTCAAGTGTAGATCCAGATCGGCCTGGAATTTACGGAGGATTTTAGCTCAGTAAATATTAAGGTTGGGAGAGCTGCAATGCGACTTAAACCATCCGTCTTTCTGTACATTACTACAGTTCTATAGGGGTACAGTCGTTGTTACATCTATCAGTACAATTAAGAGGACTTTTCTATTTAGATCTGAATTTGTTGCAAGCTTTTAAACAGCATGGATAAACATAATCATGGAAACAAAGAGAACCTGACAATTAACAGCTTTTCTTTGTTTATTTGGAAATGTTAATTTAAAAAAAGAAATCAAATCTTACATGTAACAGTCGTCTTCATTTTATTGACGCCAAACACCAGGTCTTCAAAATTTGGAGGGATTTGGTGGTGGTGGTTAGAGATCCCCCCCCCCCCGTTACTTGAAGCTATGCAACTGAGGAACGTTCTCTTGAAAAAGAGAAAATTTGTTTTCTAAAGATTTTTTTTTTAACTTTATCAATTTATTTTTTTTTTATTTTTTTTATGAAACAAATTATTTGATACATGTATTTAATGCAGAATGCAGAAAATAAGTTAAACTAACTTCATTTTGACGAGAATTTTTTTTAATTTTCATGAAAAATTTGCTGAAATGAGTGAAAATTTAAAAAAACGGTGTATTTTCCAGGATAAAAATCCGTACAATCCGTACAATTTGAAAACAAACCGTGCAATCCGTACAATTTTAGGGTTAAAAAAAACAATCCGTACAATCCGTACATTTTGGCCACCCTGAAGTTTTTTTCTGATCAAGAATTAATGATCAATTAAAACTAAGTTTAAGTTTAAGATGCCTTCAACATACTATTTCTTTATATATTGTCAATAGTATAACTTAGGGGACTGGACAGATTATTAAACAATATGCAATTTTATTCTTTTGATAACTCCTTCATCCCCCCCCTCCGCACCCCCAAAAAATTATTGACCCTTGAGAAAACTATTTTCATTCAAGATTATCCGGAAGTGTTTTTAAGAAGAAGAAAAAAAGTGGTTAAAAGGTTTAAAAACCAAGAGAATAGATTAGTGTGGAATTTAGTAAACAAAGTGTAAAACCACTGTTTTGTTGTACTGTTTTCATAATGCAGGTGTACTTCACAGCTCACACATTTGTTCTCTATAACCTTATTTAGTAAACAAAGTGTAAAACCACTGTTTTCTTGTACTGTTTCCATAATGCAGGTGTACTTCACAGATCACACATTTGTTCTCTATAACCTTATTGGGCAGGCAACATCTTTTTATAGGAAAAACTTATCTATAAAATTATTAAATTTTCTCTAAATCAATGCATTCCCGAGTTCATTTCATTTCAGCATAAGCATGTACTGCATATTATTTATGACCATTTATATGAATTATACTATTTAAACTCCTTTTCAGGCTCAAATTCATACCGAGGGATTTATTACCTTTTTATTCTAATTTCTACTTTATATGTATATAGATGTATACCTGAAGTATAGTTGACCCCAATGTATCATCTGTGTACGCCCAGCTAACCCTGATATCTTTACAATTCATATCATCAGGACTTTGCTCAACCTATACAATTATTATTATTATTATTATTAAAGGACAACCCATCATTCAATACAAGGATAGAAGAAGTATACAGGAAACTGAGTCGAAAATTCTTGAATGGGTCCCCTTGATCCCGTTTCCTGATATTCATAAAGAATAAGATATAAGATGTAAAAGATGAGTAAGCTAATGTTTATGAATAAGATGAATAAGATCAGTAAGCCAAATATTTATAATGCATAAGATAATTAAGATGCGTAAGCTAATGCTTATAATGATTAAGATAAATAAGATGAACAAGCTAATGTTTATAATGAATAAGACGAGTAAGATGAGTAAGATAATGTTTATAATGAATAAGATGAATAAGCTGAATAAGTAATGTTTATAATGAATAAGATTAATCAGATGAGTAAGCTGATGTTTATAATGAATAAGCTATAAAATATGAGTAAGCTTATGCTTATAATGAATGAGATGAGTAAGCTAATGTTTACAATGAATAAGATGAGTAAGCTAATGTTTATGGTGAATAAAATGAATAAGATGAATAAGCTTATGTTCATAATGAATAAGATAAATAAGATGAGTAAGCTAATGTTTATAATGAATAAGCTATATAAGATAAGTAAGCTTATGTTTATAATGAATAAGTTATATAAGATGAGTAAGCTTAGGTTTATAATGAACGAGATGAGCAATCTAATGTTTATAACGAATAAGATGAATAAACTAATTGATGAATACGATGCATAAGATGAGTAATCTAATGTTTATAACGAATAAGATGAGTAAGTTAATGTTTATGACGAATAAGATGAATTAGATGAGTAAGCTATGCTTCTAATGAATAAGATGAATTAGCTGACTTAGATAAATAAGATAAATAAGATGAATGAATAAACCTGAACGATTACACTCTCAGTCCTGAGTTCGCAGTCTCCAGTTTTCTGCAGAGAGAAACTAGTTTCACCAATACGAGTCTTCGATGCATTCAGCAACCTTAATACAACATTAATAAAAATATATAAATTACTAGCCATGAAGTACCTGGCGTTGGCAAGGTCAATATTATTTTTCATAGTCATAGTTCCTACCACCGTTTACCCGCGATTGGTATTAAATTATGATAAGTGCCCGGCGTTGCTCGTGGAATTTCCTTATTTGTTAAGCCTAATTCATCCTCGGAGTACCCATGGGTTCTCTCGAAAAAAAATCAGCTATTTGGTTCAGCCGTTTTGCCAGTTATAGCTAACATTATATTATATATATCATATATAGTATATGATATACATGAGAGAAGAGCTTTATTATATTGATGTATATTGCATAGTATATGTATAAATTTCAAGAGATCAAAATCAAGAGATAACGGTTACAAAATCATACTTTTTTGTTACATCAATAATGTTGATTAATTTGAACTTGTTAATTTGTTAAAAAAATGTCGATGTTAAGTGCTCATATCAATAATTTAAAAAGGAATTGAGAATTACATATTTCGAACTATAAATTACATTAGATCAATAATAATATATAAGATTGAAATATCACGATACGAGGATGAGAAAACTTGAATTTGTGGCATAATCTCAATTCCTTTGTTATAGTTTAAAATAAATGTTATTAATACGAACACAATTATTAATGTAATTATGTATTCTTGTTTGTACCGAGAAAGATTACTGGATGAACAGACAACCTAAGTAGCAATGTATAATTTCTATAATTCTTATCCTCTTCATGTTAATGTTCCTAAATAAAAATTAAAGATGTGTTAAAATAAGCTTTAAAGTATATATAATATATATATGTGTGTATACCTCTGGATCATTAGTCAGGGTAATACTTGTGGAGAAATTAATCATTAGTAAATCAATTAATCAAGTAAAGGTTGGACCAACCTAATGTAAACTATACGAAAACAGAGTACACACTTTTATAACAATAATAAAAACACAGATAAGTAGCCTGTAGATCCCCTGTATCGGATACAGATACAGTGCTTGTAAACCTTACACTGTGGCATCCAAGTCCTAGCTGCGTGTTCATGGTCTAAAACATTATTAAAAATTGAGGGTCAAGAAAAATTTTTGTTACTAGGCTTTCAGGCGCGAAACTTGTATTTCAATTGTGAGCATTTTCTCTTTGCATACATTATAAAACAAAAACAAAAAAATTCGCGGATTATAAATATTTTTCGTGGATTTTCAAATTTTATGAAAATCGAATGTTGTTGGATGCAAACTTTTGAAATTCTTATTATCCATAAACCTACAGAACAGTTGGGCCTGATCCGTTAAGCCGTTTTAACGTTTATTGGATACAGACAGACAAGCTAAGTATATACTATATTTAGAGGGGGGGGGGGGCATTCAGAAGATCTGCAGAAGTGATTGAAAGAAAATTTGTATTTTATAAATCCGCAATTTAAGAGCTAAACAAATTCAAGAGATTTTTACACAAGAAATATAAAAACTAAGTTTTGACCGAGTTCAAAATCGATCGGAAAAGGCATGTACTATGTAGGGCTCAAAACACCTAATCAGTATAAGATATTTTACCTCTGGATCCTCAACAGTAAACGATCCGTCAGGTTTCATCACAAGGAGACCATGGAGTAACCTCGACCTTTTACTATCAGGAGGCTGGAGACTGTACTGTACTGCTTCCTTCTTTAACAGTTCAACTGCAGTACAAAAAGGTCAACTACAGTACAACATGATCAAGTAAAGTACAACACAAACAACTACAGTTCAAAAAGATGAACTACAGTAAAACAAATTCAATTACAGAACTAGTTCATCTACAGTACAACAAGTTCAACTACCGTAAAACAAGTTCAACTTCAGTACAACATGATCAAGTAAAATACAACACGATCAACTACAGTACAACAAGATCAACTACGGTACAACAAGATCAACTACAGTACAAGATCAACTACAGTACAAAAAGATCAACTACAGAACAAAAAGTTCAACTACAGTACAACATGATTAAGTAAAGTACAATACGATCAACTACAGAACAACAAGACCAACTAAAGTACAACAAGATCAACTACAGTACAAGATCAACTACAGTACAAGATCAACTACAGTACAAAAAGATCAACTGAAGTACAACAACCTCAACTACAGTATAACAAGATCAACTACAGTACAAAAAGATTAACTACAGTACAAAAAAATCAACTACAGTACAACAAGATCAACTACAGTACACAAGATCAACAACAGTACAACAAGATCAACTACAGTAAAACAATCTTTCTACCTGAAACCTTTGCAGGTAGAGGTGGTGAGGCGGGGATGACCGCCGTCTCTCCGTTGGCGGGCATATAGCACTCTACCCCGTGCTCCTCCTTGATCTTACCCTTCAGGAACTTCATCTTCTCCCCCTCACCGTGAACCAACATTACAGTTTTAGGTTCACACCAGGTTATCAATTGCATAATACCTGGAGTACTATTGGATTAGTACATAAATATAACAAATAGAAATTTAGTTAATTATCGAAAAACACTACTTTAAAAATTTCATTTATATTTTGAAACAAAAAATAAAAATAAATCAACCATCCCACCAGCTAATTAACCAACTATCCAATTAACCATCCGTCAAATTAACCAACCAGCCAATTCAGTATAAATCAACCAGCTAGCCATCCAAAAACATCCAACCAACCAAAAAAGCAACCCATTACCCAACCAATAATTGTTACCTTTTGCATCTGCATGAGCTGAGAAGGACATATACTGAACAGACATCTTGACCTCTGTTACTTGACCTTTATCAATTTCCACTCTCTTCTGCCCGTTCAGGATTTTATGTCCTAGGATTTAATTTTCTTAGAATCTGCTTCAATAGAGGCACTCTTTTTGAGAGGGGGGGGGGGGTGACGATGAAAAAAATATACAGGGTATCTCATCAAAATGGAAAATAGGAGACGACTTGAAATTGAGAATCGTCTGGATTTCTGCATTCTGATAGTTAATAACATATAAAAGTTGACGAACTTTCAACATGTGGTTTTTCTTTTTTAAATATCTTTAAAATTGACGATATATTATATGTTCTTTGTACAGATTTTTTTTAATGATAAAAAATATTAATACTAACCTACGGTCCCTGCAACGCAATATCCTGGCATTATAATCATATTTTTCTCATCTGTACACCACTTCTTAAATATCTGCAGACTCAACCCTAGATTGTATATTCTGAACTCTATCATTGTTTTATTGATGAACGAACTTTAAGGCTGGGATTTGTTAAGGCTGAACCGAACGGGCATATATTTTTTAAGTCAACTCACATGACCCCAGGGATGGTAAAAAATTCCCAGAAAATTAAGCCGACATTTATCATTTTTGAAAATGCGCAAGTTTGAACGATAAATCCGCGAAATACGATTTACTAAGAAAAATGGTTTGAAGAGAAACAGTTAACAGAAGATTGTTGCTAGAAAAGAGGAGCGACGAAGCACCCTAAAACTAAAAGCCATGAATTCTAATATTTATCGATAAAGGAAGGATCTTAGGAAGGTTCAAAATTCCAAATTTTCATTATTGTTGAAGATCGAATATAAAGTCTACTTAAAATAAATATTTTACTTGCAAATATGAAAGACGTTAACGTTAACATAAAAAAGAAGGAAAGGATGAGGCTAAGCAAGCAGAAATAGAAGGAGAGGACCAAAGGGGTTGTTTACATTTTAGTGTGACGTATGAGGATAACTTTAGAAATAGTTTCATTGTAAACAGTAAACATAGATAAAAGAAAAGGAGGACCGGGCTTGTGAAATTACTATACACTAACTGTTACAATTTGCAAAAACGTAAAATGAAAGTAAACCCTATACCCATATCGTGGTTCTATAATTCAAAACAAAAGATTGTATTCTGTTAAAAAAAAACCTTCACATTCACTGTGCACCTAAAGTCAGTTTTTTTAAGCTTGGCATTTTAGTTTATACATCTCAGTACCTAGGTACTATGTAGTCAGACAGTTGAATAAGGGTTTTGATATTTTGTTACAACATGGTTTATGACTGTTGTCTGTTTTACGGTTAAAAATATCGCAAAAAGAGAGAGTAAAAAACAAAAAACTTGAACTATACATAGTTACGTTTGACTTCAAACATTTCTTATCTTTCTAATTCTAATTTCGTAATTTAAAATGCTTTCGGTAACATGATGAGACTGTTAGGGGTTTAGTTGTAAATGCATGTATTGCATACCTGCGTGTAGCATGCCAGGAGTTGCAAACACCACCATGGGCCCTGGATTGTCGATATAACTTCTATCAAACGACTTTATGTGTCGAAAATCAAACATGTTTCTGTCGACAAAAGTTTTTCTTATTTTTTCATTAGTCCACGAGATAAACATCTTGTAGTAACTGTTTGCTTTCTCGGTCATGCCCGCAGAGAAGTATATCGGGCATTTCAGGTTCATTCGCTCCCAGTAGGTTTCTATACATTTAGTTCTCTAATCAAAGTTTCTTACGATCAGGTGTTAAGTTTTAAATAAGTGTTTAGGATACTTTATATCTTGAAGAGGATCTTGATTCAGATTGGGATTAATGACCTCCTAAAGTTTTGCAAATTGCTCATACCAAAAACAGATTTTTCTTTAAGTATGAAAAAACTTTATCAACTATTCACTGAATATAGGTCTAATGATATCTCATTAGTTGAAACTCAAAATCTGTGTTTAGAGAAAAATGTTTATTCTGACATTTTGCAACTTGGATCCCAATCCATGGATCCGGATATTTTGCAACTTGGATCCCAATCCATGGATCCGGATATTTTGTTGGATCCGGATTCAAAATGATGCGGATCCAATGGACCCGGATCCTAAACAATGTTTGAAATATTTTAATTAAATATAAAGAACAAATTTCCTAGAAGAATACAGAGTTCTTGAGCTCGGCCCAAGGCAAACACAGGTATAAGCACTTTTCCACCCTTAACAAAACAATATGGAAATGTACNACTAAATCCCTTTGTTTTCCATAGGGGATTCATCACCAAATTGGGGAATGTTAAACACGGATGAGTCACCGTAAACGACCCCAAGGTTGCACATAACTCAAACTTGTATTTAACATTTCCAGGGTCTCCACTTTAAAAACAAAAGCTTCCAGAATTCAGAATACGTGTATGAATTATAAGTATTAATAAGAATCAACCTAAAGTCGAAGTATATTGTCCTACAGGCTATATTGAGCTCTAGGATTGAGCCCCAGCCACGGACGCCGGTCTGCTTGGGCTTTTAGTGAATCATATCTGGTTTTAATTCTTTTTTAGGTTCCATGCGTAATCACGATATGTAAGAACAGTAAACACACCTGTTAAGGAACAAGGATAGTTTTTCAAAAGAAATACAAAAAGTATCTCACTAGAGGACGACTACGCATAAAAATTAAAAACTTGTTAATCTTTATCAATCCTTCAAGATGAAATTAGAAAATATTGAAGTGAAAAATTAAGTTTGACAAACTAAGTGCTAATTTAGAATTTCATACAATGAAACATAAGAAAATGCATGAACCCTAAGGAGACACCACAAACTTCTGATAACGTTCCCATATTTCAAAATTGTATTTTCTAAAAAAATTCTTTTTTACATTCTGAAATTTTGACCCCGGCAGAAAAAACAAGTCAGAACGGTCTATCGTTCGAAAAACCGATTGAATCTGCTTTGTATCAGGGTTATAGCTTCTTTCAGAATATTTTTTATTGCAAGATTTATAAAGAAACACTAAAATTAATCATAAGAAAATTTCCCACAAGTTCACAAATGAAGATTATCATCCACACTTATTATTTTATCTTGAATCATTTTTTTTTCATAATTCATAAACATTTACTCTATTTTTAATGAATGAAAAACAATTGTCGTTATTAAACATGACGTCAAGAAGATATTGAAATAATCATTTACTTAGAATCATTTCTATTATTTCCCATAATCAATATATGATTGTTATTTCTAACTAAGAAATAAATAATAAAGAATTATAAAATGATACATCGAAACTAACTCAAAATCATCCAAACTTTCATCTTAGTTATCAGAGATTTAAGATTTAAGAAGCTACCAACTCTTTATCAGATCAAGTAAATTAGAGTTTTTCTTATTTGATCTTGTGTTTCAAAATATGTTGATGTTTAACCGTTATTAGAATTAAACATCGTTGTTATCTGATATTAAAATTCAGGATTTTTAGACTCAACAAAAATCAGATAACTTGAACATATATTCAAAATGTATTTGATTTTATTACATTATGCAAAATCTGGACTCTCTAGAAGAAAAAAGCCTTAAAAGAATTTTCAAACTCATGAAAGCCAAAAATTTTAATGACTTAGTTTAAAAATATATCACAGAGTACCTTGTCTATGCAGTCGTGAACTTTCTTGAGGAAGTCCCTCTCCCTGCACCGCTTGCTATCCCTTACAGTGGTCGCGTAGGTGGATTCTAATCAACAGATGGCTGATGGATGGTATTTAAATGATTTTTAAAATAATTTTAGAACTCATTCAGATTTTTGCTATTTTCAGTAGATCAAACTACTAATGTACGCGAGAAAAAAATCATCAGAATAAATCAAGATAGAAATCATTAACCCATCTTGAAATACCGAATTCAGAAACGTTAAATCCTAAAAATTTAATAATAAGCTAAAACCGGTATTTTTAATTGGATATTTGGAAACGTATAAAAACTAGTTTTGAAATATCGATTATTGTCGCAGACATAAATTAGTAAAACTTATTTCGTTCATTTAAAAGATCCGGATCCCGACTCACTATTTTTTTACCCAGAATAACCTGTATAGTGTATAGTACCTTTTAAAAATATCAAAAGATCTGTTAAAGTATTTCTAAGATAATCTTATAAAAGCTTAGTTTTCTTATGAAGAAGTAATGTAAAACTAAGAGGATTTAGATTTCTGGTAAACTACCAGCAAAGTCTACACTTAGAAACGTGGGAAGATAAGTATATATTTCGTCGTACCGTAGATAAGTACTATAGAAATAAACATAAGTACCATAGGAAAAAGATAAGTACCGTAGAAATAAGGATAAGTACCGATCGTAGAAATAAAGATAAATACCGAAGAAATAAAGAGTTAGTACCGAAGAAATAAAGAGTTAGTACCGTAGAAATAAAGGTAAGTGCCGTAGAAATTAAGATAAGTAGTATCGTAGAAATAAAGACATGCAGCATAGAAATAAAGATAAGTATCACAGAAATAAAGATAAGTACCGAAGAGATAAAGATAAGCACTGTAGAAGTAAAGATAAGTACCATAGAAATAAAGATTTTTACTACCGTAGAAATAAAGATAAGTACCGTAGAAATAAAGATTTGTACTACCGTAGAAATAAAGATAAGTACCGTAGAAAAAATAAAGATAAATACCGTAGAGATCGTCATCTCATTATAGATATCTAAATGGGGGGNCTAACTGTTATAGTATATTTGGTCTACATTTATCTATTCAAGCTGCTCCCAGATGTAGATCTGGTATCTACTACCTGTTATAAGTATATTTGGTCTTCATTTATCTATTCAAGCTGCTCCCAGATGTAGATCTGGTATAAACTACCTGTTATAAGTATATCTGGTCTACATTTATCTATCCAAGCTGCTCCCAGATGTCGGTCTGGTGTCATATTATAATCTCCAGTATACACAACAGACTGGTTTCCAACTCTTAAATAAAAAAAAATATTTATAAACTGCTGATTTCTTGAAGAAAGAAACTCTAATCTTTAGCGTCTTATCAATATATCTCTGCAGCTTAGTGGTGAAAACCTTTGATATTTCAAACTTTGATGATCAAGCATAATACAATGTTTGAAATATCAAAGGTCTTCGACTTATGGTTGCAAAGATATAAGGGTAACAAAGTTGGGGAATGGGAGAGTGGTTAGTTTATTTCTTCACATTTGCGGAAGGTTTAGGGACAAATTTTAAATCCATTCATAAATCAATCAAGAAAGTAATGACTCTTAGCTATAAAAATACCACCTGACTTGAAACATTGCTGCCCCAAGTACATGTCCAGCATAGTAAGCTTTTATCTCGAGTTCAGCGTCAACCTTAAAAATAGATGAACATTATTTCATAAGGTTTACCATCCTACCTGAACTACTTGATAAAGGTTGATCTTAACACCTAGCTGAACTGTCAGATAAAGGTTGACCTTAACTACCTCAAATACTTGATGAAGATTGACCTAAACTACTTGAACTACTTAATGCAGATTGACCTAAACTACCTTAACTACCTGAACTACTTGATAAAGATTGACCTAAACTATCTGAACTACTTGATAAAGATTGTCTTAAACTATCTACGCTACTTGATGTAGCTTGACCTAAACTACCTAAACTACCTGAACTACTTGATGAAGATTAACCTAAACTACCTGAACTACTAAAAAGAGAATATTGTCCTAAACTATCTGCACTACTTGATGCAGATTGACCTAAACTACCTAAACTACCTGAACTACTTGATGAAGATTAACCTAAACTACCTGAACTACTAAAAAGAGAATATTGTCCTAAACTATCTGCACTACTTGATGCAGATTTACATAAATTACCTAAACTACCTGAACTACTTGATAAAGATTGACCTAAGCTACCTGAACTACTTAAAGAAGATTGTCCTAAACTATCTGCACTACTTGATGCAGATTGACCCAAACTACCTAAACTACCTAAAGTACTTGATGCAGATTGAATAAAACCACCTGAACTACTTGATGAAGATTGACAGCAACAACTTTCTTCATACAATCTTTAATCATCCCACTGGTGAAGAAATTCTGTTCTCCTGGATAAAACCAATTTAAAGAATAAAAATAATAGATCATTTTATTGCTTAAAACATTTATACATAAATATATATATACATATAAAATATTCAATGTTAATTTTTTTTATTAAATGTTTTTATCATGAAAAGTCAAATTTTAGTAAACTATTTTACCAAGTTTTTCTTCCTTTCCCTATAAACCTTAAAAAACCTATTTGCATAATAACTTGAGACGCAGTGTATATATATATATATATATATAATCAATTTAATATTCAATTAAAAATAAAAATTATATCCTTATACACGATGTTTCATGGACTTGCTCCAATCTTTAGTGAGGTCTGATATATTAGTATATATATGTATATATATATACATTACAGCATATATATATTTACACAAATTTGTCTCATCATTATAAATCTATTAAAAAGGTAAAACATAACATAAGCTAAGTTTTACTTTAAGCCTTGAATCAAGCGCCTCACTTGTAGGGACATTGTAAATACATCTTTCTGATCTTCCAGTCTGGTACATTCATTCTTTTGTTCAGTTTCCTTCTTTTTAATCCTCAGACTGGCGGTGTTTCCACTGTGTGTATTGACTTTTAAAGGCGCCAACCGATTTGGAATTTTTTATTTCTTTTGGCAGGTCGTTACATTGTTGAACTACACGATTAGAGAAAAATCTTCTTTTCAACTCTGTATTGGATAGTTTACTTTTAATGTTCAAGGGATCCACTGAAAGCCGTGTTACTCTCTCTCCCCTGATTACTGCAAACTCAACCAAACTCTGTCAACCCTATCCATCTCATGTACAATTTTGAAAGTATTGACCTTGTCAAACTGAATTCGCTTATCCTTCAGACTAAAACTTCGCAGTTCTTTCAACATGTCTTCATAATTATTACTGCAAAGTCCGGAGATCATGGTTCCATGCTGGTGTGGAAAATTCAATATGGGGTCTAACGTAAGTTGTGTACACTGTACAGGTTTAAGAACGTTTTTCTCTCTCTGTAATGAAAAGAGCGTGCAACTTGGGTCAAAACAACATTTGTTTTTCTGGCTGCTTCCTTTCACTGGAGGGATGGCTTAAGGGATTTATGGATTAAAACTCCAATATCTCTTGAGATGGAATTTAAAGAATTTGAGCCGCGGTTTAAATCCGCCAAAACCCGGTTTAAATTAAGCGCCGGTTTAAATCTTGAAACATTTGATACATTTTTAAGTGGAACCAATCATATTTAAACCGCGGCTTAAATTTAAACCGCCGCTCAAATTCTTTAAATTCGGCCACTGTTTCTGTTTTAGATAGGACCTGGTTGTTCATCTAGTAGTTTGTTTCAGAATTTCCTCTTCACACGTGCATTACCTTGCATTTATCTGTGTTGAATCTCATTCATTTATCTGTGTTAAATCTCATTCATTTATCTGTGTTAAATCTCATCCTCCAAAGATCTGCTGAACTGGACAGATTATTGAGAGCTGTTTGAAGGGTATCCGAGTCGGTGGGACTCATAGCTATTTGTCCTATTTTTGTATCGTCAGCGAATCTCTTAATGATTGTGACACACTAAACAACTTTATCAATATAATTGATGAATATCACAAATAGAAGAGAACCCAACACGCTACTCTGAGATACCTCAGATAGCACCTCCTTCCATGTTGATGAAGATCTATTGGGTACTTACTACTCTTTGTGTTCTGTGTTTTAACCAGTTTTCAATCCATTACAAAATTTTTCCACAAATAGAATGAGACATGATTTTTTCAATTAATCTCAGAAGGGGTACAGTCTTGGAAAAGTCAAGATAAATATTGTCTAGATTAAATCCCTTGTCTACACAGTCTGCCACAGTCTCCAAAAATTCCAAGAGATTTGTGACACAGATTTTTTGGACATAAATCCATTCTGACTTGAATTTATGAGATTGTTGTCAGTAAGATGTGTAATGAGTTGATCTCTTAAAATACTTTCAAAGATCTTTCAAGGAATAGATGTTAGACTGACAGGTCTGTAGTTAGATGGTTGGCGTTTAGAACCTTTTTTATAGATTGGGGTGATATTGGCTGATTTCCAGTCTGATGGAATCTCTCCGGAGTCCAAAGCCTTTCTTAAGATTATCAGTAATGCTTCAGAATTAGGTTCAGGAGCCTTGGAGCAGATGTGCTGACAAGCTGTCAGTACCTGGAGCCGAGGATGGGTTCAACTTTTTAATCTTTTTTACAATATCTCCCTTTGTTATGACAACATATTTGATTTCAAGGTCATCCCTAATCTTTTCCATTAAAGGTACCTGACCTGGACCATCAATGGTGAAAACACCGGCAAAAATGTCATTGAGAAGTTCAGCCACTTTGTCATCTTCATTACACTTTCTGCCATCACTATCCATCAATAGGCCAACATATGATGTACACTTGGTTTTTGATCTGATGTAAGAGTTAAACTGCTTGTTGTTAGATGCCTTACTGTCTTGGGAGAGTCTTCTTTCAAACTTACTTTTTCCAAGCTCAGAGCTTTATTGTAAAACCTTTGTGGATCATCTAAGAGTCTCCTCTGCCACCATCAAAGAAAAATGGTTAGATCTACAGAACTTGACCCCCGCCCCCCCAAGCTAGAAATGGAACTTGTACACTGTAAACAGTTGGAGCCAGTCACACCTCCAAATGTACCCAATACAACTGTACTCTCAGCAATTCCTCAGTCTCGAAGTAACCATTGGAACAAAGAAGATGAGTCCAGGATATGGTCCCAGGAGAGGATCGAAGTCCACTGGATATGGTCCTATAAGAAGGAGTGAAGTCCACCGGATGTATTCTCAGTTCAATTGAAGAGGCTTGGCTTTAGAACATTGAGATAATGCAGTTTAAATTAAACCAGATCTGAGTAAATATAAATATTCTATATAATCTGCGTCAAATTTCTTGTCCTAAATCTCAATTAAAAAGGGTTCTCAAAATCGCCATGTTCTTTAGTCAAAGACTAGATATTATATTTATCTGCTGCTTTCTCCTGTTTCTTGTAATTTTCTTCTGCTGTTGGGGTTTGCTTTTCTTTCAGCCATTACATAAGTAGTCTATACTTTCTTCTCACTGTTGATTGCGTTTTAATCAAGAATTAAAGAGTCGATGTAAGTTGTGGCTTCTTTATTTTTAAAATAATGATACAGGGTGTACCAAAAACAGGAAAGTTAAGAGACGATTTGAAGATAGTGTTTGATCTAGTAAATATTTGGCACAAATTATCTAAAATATCAAAAGCGATCTTCAAGTCGTCTTTTAGCTGCAATATTTCGTGGGACAATGATTCTGTGATAAATCCCATAACTGTTTACTGTTTACTGTTTAGTGTATAGTACACTGTGTAGAGTAAAGCTTGTAAAAAGTATCTTTTCAAAGTTTAATAAAAAAATTCCCGAGAACTGAAACATAAGTGATTTTCAAGTAGATAAGGGAATATACTTTTATAACCTGTCTGAACTCTCAAATCAAAAAAAAATATACATTTATTCAATTTACCTTTTTTATCAACAGCGACCTTCCTCATATCCTCCAGTAGAATTGGGGCTATGGCCTTAAAATAACAATAGATATTTTTGTTAAAATTTAAAAGACTAGCCTTAGAGGGCGCTTCGCGCCCATCTTCTAAATTAATTGTGAACATGTTCTCTTTGTGTACAGACGTAAAGCAAAACCAAAATAATTCGCGGATTTTCACAAAAAAATTCGTGGATTTTCAAAATTTTCAAAAATTTAATGAAGATCGAATTTTGATGGAGACAAATATTTAAAATTTCAATCATTCATAAACCTTCCCTGGGGTCCCTAGATGTCCCACAAAAAATTTGGGCCCGATCGGTTCAGCCGTTTTGACGTTTATTGGACACAAACAGACAGACAAACACCCAAACAAACAGACAGACAGACAAACCAAATTTATATATAGATTGACTTCTTACCTTTGTCGGTACAGTCATGTAGATAGGACCATTGTACCCTACCATCTCTAAAAATAGATAATTTGATTTGTCTCGTCTCGAAGTCGACTAAAAAAAATTACGAAATATGTCATCTAAAGCCGGGCCTAATTTAAAACTTATTGTTTTTTTTTAAATTATTTCCCAAAGCAGGCATTTATTAATTTAATTGTTTACAGTTTTGATAGTTTATATTCGAATTCAGAGAAAAAATTAAAACCTGTATTTAAAATTTGTTATCTTTATCTAAATTTTCATGAAATTTCTTAATAAAGAGGCACTGACCATAAAAATACGAATTAAGTTCATTGTAAAAAAAAAAATTAATTTATTTAATTAACAAAAGAAAAGCATCATTGATTTAAATGAAAGATACTAACAATTAACATTTAACAATCAGTTTAATTAAACGTACACATTTGTTGCTGCAAAATAAAATTTTCATCAGAACGGTATTGAATTAAAAGTATTTTTTATTCTTTTGCATTAGACGTGTTAAAGCCACGTGAATCTTGTTTAATATTACATTTTTTAAAATTTATTAAATGTGCAGCTGTTTTTATTCAATTTAAAAAATGCAATGCTTTATATCTTAAAATTTACTAAAACATCATAACTGGGGATACCACTCCCTCTTTATATCATAGTATTACTGTGCTGGAAAATAATTACAAAATAAACAATTTCATTGGATAATACAGGACATTCCAAAAATAATTTTGCAGTGGACCACTTTAAATCCGACTACAGTAACTTTAATAAATAGCATTTGAAAAAATGTGTCTTCCAACGTTTGATCTGAAAATACTATTTCTAGATCACAGATAAAATAGTGTGAAGCGCCCCGAAGTAAAAGTTTTACCTGTCATGTAAGGAAGTGCTCCACAGTGGTCCAGATGAGTTTTACCTGTCATATAAGGAAGTGCTCCACAGTGGTCCAGATGAAAGTGGGAAATAATTATACAATCCAGAAACTCAGTTAACGGCTCGTCTGAACATCAAAGAAATATCATTCTCTATTTTTCTAATCCTCATTTTGCAACCTGGCGTTGAATACCTTTGATATTTAGAAATATGAATTCCGCCATATCTGAACGGTAAGAGTCTGAAATATAAAAGGGAAAACTCAGACCATGTTGCAAAGATATAAGGATTAGAAAATAAAGTAAACACTTTGTTAAAATTATAAGGATTAATAACAACTTTTCTCCCTTATATTTCTCCGATTTTAATTCTGCAATCATGAAAGAAACTGTTGTTTGTGTAAAAATAAAACATATTTTCTACAAAAAATATTTCCAATTCAGGAATATTCTGAAAAATGACAAATTTGCAAGTTTTTTATATTTAATTTAATAATTAGTTTTTATATTTATTTTCAATATTTATTTTTTATTTTATTTTGTAGCTTGTCCATGTTATACTTTGCTCGATATTAGATTTATTTTTGCAGAAATTCTTTTGAAAAAATAAATAGACATTTCGTCTGAATAGATGACAATTTGATAAAACCTTCATTGTGGTATTGAAATATAAAATAAAAAATTAACTTTGAGTTGAAATTATAGGAAAGGATAGAAATGTTATTTTTAGAGTTATTTTATACGTCGAGATCATAAATACTCGGCCGGGATAGTAAAGTTGGTTTTAGTTATTAGGGATGAAAAATAATCAAATTTCTTAAAATAAATTTAAATATAAAAAGATAAAGCGGTCAAAAAGTAAAGTCTGAGAATATTTACCAATAAGTAAAAAGATGAATGAAACAAGAATCTTTGTCCATCATTTCGAGAGAGATAAACCAATTCTATTGGAATTTTTTGATAAATCAGGAATATCAAATATTAATATTTTCAAACAGGTTGTCTGTGGTTTAAGAAAGAATAAAATAAGGGGACTGTACAGTGTTCGTGTCCCTAATATTCAGGCAAAGATAAAGGACTGTCTTTGTAATTTCTAGGCTACCTCCCTCTATAAAGAGAGTCAAGCCTGATTCACAACGAAACCATTCAAATCTTTATCTGATTACTAAAGGGGAAGATACGGTCGTTTTTCCAACTTGTAAAGATTTAAAGGGGATGGTGGAGTTGGCACATTTGATGTAGGATTTATGAAGCAAAAAATATGCATTTAACTTTAAGCGGAAAAAAAAATTCAAACGAAACAATTAGTTTCTGTTTCATTCCAGATCAGACAAAGGTTTTAATGATACCGTTGTGAATCCAACATTATCTTGAGCGTTTTTATGTTTGTCTCAAAATGATATATATTAAAATCAGGTATTATAGTGTATTTTTTTTGTGCATCGAAAATTGTTTCAATTTTGTCTTAATTTCATGGATGAATTATTTTATCGAAGTTATCTAAATTTGTACTATTACACGAATTCCAGGGGTGTATAGTTTTAAGACTTGAGAAATTATTTTTGAAAATCTGGAGAAGAAACATTAGACATGAAAAGACAAGTCTGTTCATCCTTTTCATACTATTCACACCAACAAATTATTTAATTTTCCCAATTCAGCGAATAAAACCACAACTTTTTTTGCACTCCCCGTTTCTTAATTTTCATGTTTATTGGGACACCCTGTTTAAGTATTTGACCTGTTGTAATGAAGGAGAAATCCGGAAACCTGCGATCATCGCTGAATCCCATATGCATCCCACAATCCAGCATTATATTCTTCCCTCCTGTAATTAGAAATCCAGAGCTGTAAAATCAAATCAAATTCGTCCCACCACCACACTCCAATCCCAAAATGAATTTACAAAGTCAGCATTATATAATTTTCTCCTGTAATAAATAATTAGAAATGATATTTTTGCTAGGGTTAAATAAAAAAGTCATCAATTAGGATAGAAAATAGCGTATTCCTTCTTACCCCCACCCCATCTTTGTGTTGGATACTGATGGTCTCGATTTCACAGTGGAGGTTAGTTTACCTATTGAGAGATGAAGACATGATCTCTATATTCCACAGTGGAGGTTAGTTTACCTATTGAGAGATGAAGACATGATCTCTATATTCCACAGTGGAGGTTAGTTTACCTATTGAGAGAAGAAGACATGATCTACCAACGTCTTGTCCAGCTCCTAGGGGTGTAACCTTTATATCCATCTTTTCTGAAACTTGCAGTAATTATTACAAAGGATTTATGTAACTTGTTTTTATTTCGTAACTTAAACTTAAATTTACAAACATTTTTAAGGATGCATAAATCACCAAAACAAAATATGCTGAAGAAATAAAAGATGAGATAGGAGTTTAAGGAAAAATTCTGCATCTAATTAAAGTTTTCGTGGATTTTATGTTGAATAATAAAAACTGCAAAACAAATGCAGGCATGAATTTATTCCAAACTTTTTTTTTTTACTCAAATAAATATAATATTTAATTTTCAACCTTTTTTATTTCTAACACTAAGTTACTAAAAGTGAAACTTGATTTTTTCTTCTAGTGAGCTCTCTTCCATTTATGTTAAACAATCTGGCCCGGAATGGCTTGAATTTACATTTTTAGACTTTTCAAGAAAACTAGAAGTATTCTTTAATATTAAAAAAATATTACATGATTTGAATAAATTGATTACAGTTACGAAAATACAATTAATGAAATACAATGAGACTCCTTGAAGCCTCTACTTTTAGTCCTTGCAAATTTACAATTAGGTGCCAACAGTGATAAAGATCATATTACTTCTAAAAGTTATCTTTTAACAGATATTGTCAAATTGAGTAGATGACAACATAAGAAAGTGGTGGATCAGTGTTGACATAGAACTTGAAAAATGTGTTGAAAACCTAACACATGAAGTTTGATAGAATTACTTCTTATCATGTTGCAACATCCATATCTTGATAGAATCTACACAGTGTCCAATATCCATATACAAATCCTCTATTCAGTATCCATATCACTGTTGCTTGGAATCCTTGACCTCCTGTGACCTCCTCCACAGGTTCCACAATAGAACTCCTCGTCCTCCTGTACCAAACCAAACCATATTCAAGAAACTGTATAATCTGAACAAGATTTAAAGCTCAGTCTAGATCTCATAGTCTTGAGTTTTAATCTCATAGTCTCGAGTTTAGATATCTTAGTCTCGAGTCCAGATATCTTTGTCTCGAGTCTAGATATCTTAGCCTCGAGTCTAGATATCTTAGTCTCGAGTCCAGATCTCCTAGTCTCGATTCTAGATCTCTAAGTCTCGAGTCTAGATCTCTTAGTCTCAAGTATGGATCTCTTAGTCTAGCGTAGGTCACATAATTTTAAATCTGGAATGGCTTTTGAATTAAACGCAACTCTATGAAAAGTTCGCCTTATCATATTTCAAGGCTTGAGCCTTATTTGCAGTCTCAATGGCAGCAGTTGTAACGTAATTTTTTAAAAACTATTTAAAGTTTAACTTTTGTTTATTGTTCATTTCCTGGAGTTCAAAACATTTTTTATTAAAGTAAACATTAAATTTTTCTTTTAAAAACTTCATAATAATAAAATTCCAGTTTTTCTAAAAATAAAAAAAAGAATGAATAATAATCATCGAGATATTAGTAATAGAGGGGGCATCTGGAATTTTAGACTTCTTGTTGTACAGCCACTGTACACAATGACCCGATCAGAAATTCTACCTGGGGGATCATAATTCGTAGATCAGTGTTTTAAGACATTATTGTTTGAAAGTGAAGCCTACAATATTCAAGCAAAGAAAACANTCAAATTCCCCCCCCCCCCGCATATCCTGGTTTTCAAGTACCCAGCAGAGATATATAGGGTTAACACATAAATAATGAAAGATGTTTTTATTGTAAAAAAGATTATGATTATTTTTGGTTTCCCTTATTTTTTTCTCACTTATTTACAAATTTTTACTAAATCTTACGACGGATAGATAAGTCCACCTCGAAAAGCTGTTCTTTGCTTAGATTCTCTCTTTGGAATGAATGGTCATGTCTTGCGACCTGTAAGGAGTTGTTCACACAACCCATTTTAAATATAGAAGGAACTGCACCATTTCTGAGTATTTTGCTATCTTTGTTTCTATAACAATTTTTGTCAAAATGTTCACTGCATATAAAAATTGGATGTTTTGTCTTTCAGATAACTTGTTCTATCCACTCTTTTCGTATGTTATGAAAAATTTCTGAACCCGAAACATCGTTGTTTACACAATTTTTGACACTACTATATCTCATTGTTGAAAAATATTAAAATTAACTGTCCACACAATACCGTACAAAAAGATGTACTTAGGATTAAACCCACTGTACTCTATGATACCAACTCAGTCATAAGGAAGCATTTTTCGACAAAATTCACTGTACAGTATAAACCTGGCCAGGCAAAATTAGGAGAGGTATGCCCGCCCCCTGATAATAATGATTTCACAAAATTTGTAAAAAAATATACCAATTTAGTTGGAACGAACTACAAACAGTTCAAGTTAACAATAATGAATGTTAAACCCCAAAATTTTCATGCATTTTATACAAGCCTTAAAAATCTAATTTTTACATTGCCAAAATTTCTAAATATTTTGGTTTAAAATTAGAATATGTATATTCCTTGATCTGCTGAGGCTTGAGTCCGATACAGTAGAGATGATACCACAGTTTACACTTGTCACACTGTACCCAGTGAACCTAGATAGAAGATACAAGAATATTCTTATAACCAGAGCGTAGGATACCTTAGAGCCGCAACATTTTGGTTTCCTGAACCTGGATTCACAAAAATATGTGGATCCAAAAGTCATTATCAAAAATTCTATAAATATTATTGGGTCATTGAGTTTTAGTTATGCGAAAAAAAAATATTTTATTTGTTCAGAACATCAGTAAACTTTATGCCTGATATTCAAAGAAGCAATATGTTTTGAATTTACAGATCAAATTTTGCCCCCCCCCCTAGGACATCTAGGGCCCTCCCCCTCTTTAATTCTAAACATTTGGCTAGTCTTGGATACATTTAAAGGTACATAATACATTTACACTTTACAGTCCAATTACCTACAAGTACTACTTTACCCCTTCTTTAAACAAAACTAGTATAAAAAACAGCAAACTATTTTTTTATGTTCTTTATTCTTCAGTTTCGGATGTGAAAGTGTGATAGCTCTGAGTACTAGGGGGGGCTATGCCCCTTTTACTGGTATAGGTAGGGGCACTACCCCCTTGCCCCCCTTTGTATACGCCCTTGAGATTTGGTATAGAAG